CTCAGCCTCTGCAGCTATGGCGGTCAGGTTCTCCTCTCCAACAACTGTGCCCCCCAAATCACTGCCTTCTCCTCTGGGCCTGGCGGGGGCCCCCAAGTCAGGGTCCTCACCTGCCTTCCAAGCTCTGCTGGGCGGGTCTACTCAGCCCAAGTCCAACAGCTGATCAGGCGGCCTCACCCACCCAACCAGTGACACCCGAGACCCCTTCCTGCTCAGGGCTCCCCGGCTGAGTGAGGCGCACCGCCTCCCTCCACCTGGGGAGGCTGGGGGGCCGGGCTGGCGGTAAGGAGCCCGGGCAGGACCCAGGCGGGAGGTGGGGACAGGGACTGGAGTGCTGCAAGCTCCTCCTGGACAGCACCGACCTCCTGCGGCGGCCCTGACCTTCACCTCCCCTCCCTGCCAGGCGCCCAGCGCCTGGCCCGCCCCCCTGGGACAGCCGCCGGCGGCTACTTCCTAGGCCTCTCCGGCTCCCGTGCGGAGCCTCGGGGCAGAAGGCGCCCCGCGCCCCTCCAGCCGGCCCTGTCATCTCACGGGACAGAAAGTGCCCGGCTGGGGACAGGGCCGCGTTTATCGCAGCCCGGGTCCTCGCCTTCCTCCTCCCGGCCCGGCCCTGCGGCTGCAGCTGTCAAACCCAGCTGGTGACCGCGCGCACCTGCCGAGCCGCACAGCCCGCCGCCTTCCACCCGCAGGCCCGGGCTTCTCGGACCTGGTCCCCTCGGCCCGCACCCGGGATCGGCCTCCGCGCGCCCGGCCTGGGCGGCCCGGGACCGGGAAGGTGGAAGGAAGGGCGCCGAGAGCCCAGCGCCGAGGCCACGGAGCTGAGTCAAGGGTTCGAGTCCCAGCTGCGCCGGTGGGGACCGGGGCTCCTGGCCTCGGCTTGCTTGTTCACCATCTGTACGGCCAGCACCTCCCAAGGTGTCACCCGGTGGCTCGTACTGCCTTGCCAGGTGGATGACCCAGCGGGCACCTCGGGCGGGAAGAGGGCCGCAGCCCTGGGCTCCGGCGCCGGGAGTGCCAGCGCCGGCGCGGCGCCGCCTCGTGTTGCGAAGCGGCAGCGCAGGGCCTCTGCTGCGGGCGCTCCCCTCCGCTCCCCTCCGCCCCGCCTTCCCCTCGGCCGCCGGAGGGGCCTCGGAGGTGCCACCCCGAAGTGGGTTTTTGCAGACCCCGCCCCTGGGTAAAGGAGGGAGAGGCTGAGCACGCGTCTGAGGACGAAGCGAGTGTGGCAGTGTCTGCGACCCGCGCCTCCTGCGCACCGAGTCCTTCCCGCCTCGGGGCGGGCTGCTGCGTGCTTCAACGCAGCAGTGTGCCTCGGGGCACAGGCGACGGGCACGGAACCCTCCCACACAGGGCGCGGGGAGCCTGAGGGCACGGGGACCCCGTGGGGCGTGAGGAGGGCCGCTGGCCACAGCCCCGCCGGCCTGCACCTGGCGGAAGCCCACCCCACAGCCCGGTGCCTGACAGGCGGCCAGAGCTGCTCCTGGCGCGGCAGGAAGGGCCGCCCCCCCACGGGGTTTCTAGACCCTGACTTCTGGCTCCCAATCTACTGGCGGCGGAGGAGTCTCTGGAAAAAAGGGGTCAGCTCGGGCCCCCAAACCATGCCTCTGATAGGGAGGGGGACAGTCCGCTCCACCCTGGGGTGGGGCCCAGGCCTGGGTCCCCGGGTTTCCACCCTGTCCAGCCTACTCCAGGGAGGACAGGGGTTCCAGATGGCTGGAGTCCGGTGAGCACCTCACACCCTGCTCCACCGGCCCTGTAATGGTTGCTACATTGTGTCCACCTGAGAAGTTTAGAAGGAAGCAACTCAGCAGGGGGCCAGGGGCCTCTCTCTGTAAACACCCTCATCCTGTGCAAGACGAGGGCCTAGATGGTGAGCGCTAGACCTGCCTGCTCTAGGGCGCCTAGCCTGCTTACCGCATGAGGGCGGAGAAGAGGCTTGCTTCCCCCTTTTGCTCTTGCTGCTTTTGCTATCTTCTGCCACCTTGAACTGTTGCCCATGCCATGCCGCCCTTCCTTGGAGCCAGCTGATCATAGACTGAAACCTCCATGAACTGTGAGCTAAATAAACCTTCCTTAATTCTGGGCATCAGGTATTTTGTCTCAGCAATGACAGAAAAGTAACCAAGACATTCTTTGTACAAGATCCCAAGCAGATGCTCCAAGACAGACATGCAGGCGGCTTCCTCAGGAAAACCAGGCTCCTTCCACAGAGCAGAGCAAGCCAAGCACAGCGAAAGGCCAACGCTGACCACTCACTCCTGGATTTGGAACTCAGAGAAACCAGGGGCTGAGGACCAGGTGAAGTGGGAGGGACCGAGGCAGTAATTACAGCGGTGCAGCGGTGCGGCGAGGGAGGTGTTCGTAGGGGAGAGTGTTAATACTGGTTAACTGGTTGTTGCTGCTGGTATGGCTGTTAACTCGAGTTAAATTCTTCCCGATGCCATGTGCTTTCTGACAGCACTGTGAACGAGAGACCGTGGTTACAGTACTGCTGGGGAGAGAGTCAAATTTTTGAAAGCTGACTCTATTCTCTCTGGGGGTCTCTTCCATCTTTCTTTAGATGTCCTGCAAAAATCAAAACAGATGGAATCTTGCTTTCTTTCTTGGGGGGGTAATGCTTCTTTTTGTTTGTTTTGTGGGTTTTTTTTTTTCTTTTAAAACAGGGTCTCACTATGTAGTTCAGGCTGACCTCAACTCACTATGAAGCCCAGGGTGGTCTCAAACTTGCAGCAACCCTCCAGCTTCAGCCTTCCTAGGGCTGGGATTACAGGTGTGCACCACCACGCCTGGCTCTGAGACACTCTTGCTATGCAGCCCAGCTGGCCTTGAATGCAAGAGCCTCCTGCCTCAGCCTCCTGAGTGGTGGGATTACAGGCATAAGCCACCATGCCTGGCGTGCTAAACTATTAAATCACATAGAAAGCAAGAACCACTGTACGCCCTGTTACTGATCTGATGCTAAGCTTTTTAGTTATGTTTCTGCTTTTTATATGCAGTGACTGAGTTTGCCATAGGGCATTATGAACAACAGATATGTTTGGATGCCACGTAAGAATGTCAAATTGAAAAATAAATGTTGTGCCGGGCATGGTGGTGCACGCCTGTAATCTCAGCACTCGGGAGGCTGAGGCAGCAGGATAGCTGTGAGTTCAAGGCTAGCCTGGGCTACAAAGTGAGCTCAAGGCCATCCTGAACTGCATAGCGAGACTGTCTCAAAAAAACAAAAAAAGGTCAAATTTGCCACTACTTTTATGCTTCAATGTGCCCCTCCGTGTGCTGGCGTAGGAATGAAATTAACTCCTTGATGTAAATGTGGAGCTTCCTGGGTTCGTCACCCTCTTCCATGGCACTGGAGAGGCTGGGGCCACAGAGGTGTGACCGCCCGAGGGACCTGTTTCCCTGAAACCCAGCCCTCTCTTAGGCCACACAAGGCCTGGGCACCAGGGGAGGTGAAATACTCTCTGTAAGCTTTGGTTGCAGTACTGCGCTCAGGCTATCCTAAATGTCGATTGTCCGTGAATCCGAATGCAGCCTGTGAAGGCCCGAGCCTGGGCGGAGCCTGCCGAGGTCCCTGCTGCAGGCTACAAGCAGCCTGCAGCAGGGACGCCTGGTGCTCCCCCAGCTGCTCTAAGCGGAGCAAAGGTCAGCACCACCTGGTAAACTGTTTTTCGAAAAACTACCATAGGGGCTGGGGATTTAGCTCAGTGGCAAAGCGCCTGCCTGGCAAGCGCAAGGTCGTGAGTTCGGTTCCTGGTACGGGAGAAAAACCAAAAAAAAAAAAAAAAAAAAACGAAAGAAAAAAAAGAAAAACTACCATAGAGTGTGATACGCCGAATAATAAAGAAGGAAAAAAAGGCCTCAGTAGCATTGGAGTGACTCAGGCCGCACCTCCCTCTTCCGGCCTGGCTGAGAACTGCAGCTTGCAAAGATTAACTGCAGCTTCATGAGGTAACCAGGCGAACCTCTCTCAAATCTGATTCCTTTCTGCCTGTGGGTGGGAGCCACGGTGCTGCTCGGATGTGCCTCGCTCTCTGGCTCCTTGTGTGCAGTGTTGTTCTGATCCCGCGGGGGTCCCCTGGGGTTGTCCCGCCCTGAACCTGCAGGTAGGTGTGGCTCTCTCTGCACGAGTCAGGCCGATGGTGAGCCAGAGCGGCCACGCTCGGTAACGATCACCTGGCTGAACCAGCTCCCTGCTGACCCCGGAGCCCTGTCCCTCCAACAAGGCCCCGCGCTGCTCTCACTCCGCAGAAGCCAGGGCGGAGCATTGCGTCACGTGGGTGGCACAGGCCGTGTCACCGGCTCGCCTGCACCCTGCCGGGCTTCAGATCTGAGGTCCACACCTTCGCTCCCACACCACCGTCTCCCGAGAGAAATAGCTTAAAATGAACCTGGTTAAGTACTCCGCGTTGAAGGCATCCGGAGAAGCCTAACTACCAAACCTTTCCTAGTAAATCAGCTGTTGCTCAAAGTGAAGGCCACGGCCCTGCCAAGGCCAGGGCGCTCTGCCACGCTGGCTGCGGGACAGCAGCTGTCCACAGCAGAACAGAAGCGTCTGCTGTCCTCGCTGCACAGGATGACTCCAGGGGCTCAGCGGAATCAGCCGGTCTCCAAAGCAGCGCTGGTCTGGGCCCCGCAGACCGGGGTCAGGCAGGGCGAGGCGCTGAGAAGCCCAGAAGCGGCTGTGTGCCTGGTGACCTGTCCTACCAGCGCACCAGCGGGGCAGCCCTCACCGCCGCGGCAGACACAGCGGGGCACACCGACTGCACCCCTTCCCTGCCTGCGTGGGGTTCAGCTGGGGGGCCACACGAGCACTTTTACACTGCTCCTCTCGGCCCTCCCTCGTGGGCAGCTCCCAAAGCAGCAGACTGCGCCCTGATCCCAGCACCTGGGGTAACCTGCGAGCTGGGGGCTGCCCGTCCCTGGCTATGTCTCACAGCATGTCTCACACTGAAAGGACTCAGTGCGTGGGGAGAGGTAAAAACAGAACACATGGGACCTCAGGCGTGTTTCATATACATATTTATATATATATTTCATGTACAAAGTTACATTCCGAACCCCAGGGATTCCGTAATAGAAATAAATACTGAGATAACTACATCGCTAACTGAGCTGTCTGCTCAGAGAACCGAAGCCTCTGCCCCAGACAGCGAGCGGGCCCCCGAGAGCCCGGCTGCAGCGGCGGAGAGACCTGGTAAGACGCCTAGCACAGAAACACACTGAGAACATAATGTTAAAGTATATTCGGATACTGAGAAACGTAGGACGAAATTATTAATAAAACTTTTAAGGGAAAGAAAAAGACATTTAGTGTTACAGAACAGCATAACCCTGTTAGAAAAGCTTTTATGATTCTGTGTTTTTCTCCCCGCTTCCCACGTTACAAGGCGGGGCGGATGCGTCCCTTTCTCAACATGATCGAGGAAGAAGAGTCCGAAGCCCGTTCAGTCCTTTGGTAGTGGTCGTAGCACAGGAAATAGTTCCACAGGGCTGGCAAGACCCTGGCGCTTGAGGACGGCTCACACAATGCACGCTTGTTTAGCTTTGTTTTGTGACTAAGGCAGCCTATGTTAGAGCCTCTTCCCGGATGTGGAGACCGCTGTAGGAGATGAACGCTAAAGCAGCTGAGAGAATGTACTTTAACCTTGTCTATGCAAACGCACGTCATCTTTCTGAAACGTCGCGTGCTGCATATTTTGTGCTAAAAATGCCTTACATTCTCAAAAAGCTGCAGCGTTTAAGAGATTCATTCCTATCTTAGCACTTTAGATCCACACGGGTTGAGGAAAAACTCAACTGAGTTCCTGAAAAACATTCTCCCTTTTCTGCACAGAGATGTTAACCTGTATTTATAGTAAAAATTAGGTTGCAGCCTGGGTGGTGCCGTTTTTTGTGCATCAGCAACGGCAGAACACTGGCAACTTCACAGCCTCACGCAAGGCTGAATGTTGTGGAGCAGGCGTTCTCAGTCCCGCTTCCTCGGGAGACCGAGGCGAGGCACGCGGGCCTCCTCTGCCCCGACACGGGAGCTTTGGGCAGGTCACACCGCGCTGCTTGTGAGCAGCCGACACCTGCCATCTGTCCCAAGGGTCACCGCCCTGACCAAAGTGAATGTTGCAGGGATACAGACCTGTCACTGGGGGAAAGAGGAAGGAAAGCAACCGGTAGAAAAATTTTAACTGGAATGACACATATAAGCACGAGCCTTCAGGACAGACTGTATAGGCATTTTGTTCACTCTGGTGCCTACATAACAGGGCCACAGGAAACCGACCTCTTCAGACAAGACGCACGCCACATTCCTCAAGTTACAGCGATCACAGCCACGCCACACAGGTCTGCCTCTCGTCCCCGTGGGGACACCCCAGGCCCCCTGTGGGGCGCGTGAGGCCGGCCTCCGCGGCGCTTCCTCCTGGGCTCGAACCCCCACGCACTTTGGCATCTCCTTAGGAAGCTCTCTATGTAGCATTTGAACAATGTTTAGTAATGCTTTGTTAGGTATTGCCAAAAAAGGGTTCAGATTTAAAATAAAATAAAAACATAGCAATTAAGCTATGGAAAAGTGGCCTAAGTTTTGGGTCAGAAAAGCGACTACATCATTTAAGCAAAACATTATCCTCCAAACGTAGCCTTTGCTCAAGGTTTTCTCCTAACACACAGGGACCGCAGTTTTGCTGTGTGTACAATGCGCTTATAGGCGCACGTGGCCAAGTGGGTGGGAAGGCCGCCCTGGTCACTCAGTCCCGTGTGTTCTCTCCTCCAGCCTAGGTACGTACACACGCACAGTCCTGGGTGTACATGTGACAGATATTTTTGCACAATACTTTGGGGAAAAAAATCCCTGGTACTTAATGCGGAGACAGTCACAGACCTGTTTGCTTTCTCTTCTTGGACGCAGTCCTTCCAGTGACTGGGGGACCTTTTTCCTATAGGTTCATATTTTTAAAATAGCACACAAAATTGTAATTAGCTTTGCTTGAGTAATGGGTAAACAATGGTACATCGCACATTTTCAGGACGTCTGAGAGGGTTAAAGCCACAGCGTCAGTTTTTAGAAACACTGAACAAGGAAATCAGGGGAGCCCAGACTCCGCCTGCTTGGAGAGGACGCCGTGTGCAAAGGCGCAGAGCCGACCCTGACCTTGTGTGCGGCGTCTTGGCCCTGCCGTCTTCTCCTTCAGTTCTTCCTTTGGGCGGCATTTTACACTGAAAAGAGAGCGAGCCTCACGTGTGTTATTTACATTCAAAGGACCAAGCGTGAGCTGAGGGTTCCTTTTATACAGAACAAAAGAAACAGCTTTCCTGCCCGCTTCCTCAGTCATTCAGAGCGGACTCCGCGCCACTGTGCTGCTCCTGTCACCCCGGGCTCGGGGCCAACGGGCCCGTGTTTGACATGGGACAAAACCAAAAATGCACCGGCCACCTTCGTCCTCTGGTACCAGGATACAAAACACAATTCCTTTAAAAACCCTTCCAATGCTGACGTTTCTCCAGACATCTTCTAAGCTTACAAATAATGAGCCTCTCAGACCTGGCAGCATGGAAATGAGTGCAACTAGTGAAAAAAAACAATATTCAGAGAAGCAGGCCTCGGTAACTTTAGAGCTCTACTAAAACAGAAAGAGGAAAATTGTATTTAAATAGTGTAGTCTTAATTTCTTTAATATAAAACCCCCCTAATCTGATGAAAACGAAGTTTTATATACCATATAAACAAGATTTGTCAGATTTGAAAGTGGAAGTTAATTTACAGTTAGCTCTCAGCCCTCTCGGGACAGTTAGGTAAATCGTGACGATCCACTGCTATTAGTGTGTGTCCACTGTATAATACACTGGGGAAAATTGTGCCACTGTACCTAGTGGCACAGTTTCATTTATCAAGTATTTCCCACTGATTCCATTATTAGTGACAGCTAGAAAGTGACCCCATCAGTTGAAGCGAGTGACGTGAGACATGGCCAGGCGAGCCACATCCCGATTGCTCTCTGTAACGCCCCGGTTTGGGAAAGTCCACGTTCTCTGGTTTGTTCATGATACACTGAAATCGCCTATAACACTGGTGCAGTAAGACAGCTAGCCCCTCTGGACTGTTACAGCAGGACAGGTTTTGTAATATAAAGTTAACAGGATAAAATGCTCACATCTTATGTGGTGAAACTTATTCACAAGCGAGCATTAAATAAAGGGGAAAAGGCAAAATAAACCATGCAGAAGAGACGGCGCTCCGCCTCCGGCTGTCCCCGCGGGCTCACTCGCTGCCGTACATCACTTGCCACACGATCAGGTGGCTCCTTTCGGCTTTGGTGACAGAAGGTTCCAGTGGGAGGTCCTCTCCGAGGAGCTCTGATTCTCCGCCTTCATCACCTAGCGAGTAACAGGGAGACGCGAGTGAGGCTGGACAGAAAGCGCAGGGCAGGGACGAGGCTCACAGTGCGCCTGGGAATGGGGTGAAGCAAGCTGGCCGCCATCCAGGACAGAGCCCGGGGACCGGAGCCCTCACTCACCTCCACCAGGGTCACTGCCCGGCTTCTGCAAGGGCCGGTGCATTTTTCTCTACCTTTATAAAGCAAGCCTACTGTCTACCCTGCAAAGTCACCGTGCTGCGTCTGTGGTGGATGCTAACGGAGATGGAAAGCTAAGAAGGTAAAGCAATGTAATTCTGTGCTCATCCAAAGCGGACGTCTCCTCTGGCCCACGCCACACCACGCCCTGAGATTAAAGGGTGCTGCGAGTGTGCACACCCGACGGGAGCACACGGCCAAGTAACACGGCGCTCACGGGCGGCAGCAACAGGGGCCGGGTTCTCCGCGACGGATACAGCACGTGAACGCGGTGTCGCTCCGAGAGACAGCAGGTCTGTCACCTCCTGCACTACGTCCTTCCTCCCAGGATTCTCAGTGTAGGGCAGGGTATGGTGGACGTCAGGACAGGAAGAGGCCGGGGAGGCAGGCAGCTGGGCTCAGACGGGCACAGCCTCAAGAGCGCCGTCCCTGAACCATGCTGGCCTACAGTCTCACCCCAGCCAGTGACAACTGCAGCCAGTGGGGTAAATTCTTCAGAAGTTTAAAGCCGTGCACAGCAAGGGACAAAGATATCCCATTAGAATTCTTTTTTTTTTTTTTTTTGAGAAAGGGTCTCAGCCGGGTGTGGTGGCACACACCTGTAATCCCAGCACTCGGGAGGCTGACGCAGGAGGATCGTTGCGTGTTCGAGACCAGCCTGGGCTACAAATTGAGCTACAAAGTGAGCTCAAGGCCGGCCTGAACTGCATAGCAAGATCCTGTCTCAAAACACACACACACACACACACAAAGAGAAAGGGTCTCAATTTGTAGTCCAGGCTGCCCTTGAACTATGTAGCCCAGGTTGGCCTCAAATTTGCAGTGATTCTCCTGCTTCAGCCTCCCGAGCGCTGGGATTACAAGCGTGTGGCACCATACCTGGTGACCCAGGGGAATTCTGTAACATGCTTCACCTGAATTTCAACAGGACCAAAAAAAAAGTACTGGCGGTTTTCATATGGCATCAAACTACAGAGAGACGCATGTTCAGGACAAAATCAATTTCTCACCTAAAACCTAAATATAACCATCTTGGAATGTGTATGTTTTTGGGAGGGGGTACCAGAAATCAAACTCAGGACCTTACGCTTACCAGGCAGGCGCTTGTGCCGCTGAGTTATATCCCAAGCCCTCATATTACAATGTAAAAATAAATAAATAAATAAATACATAAATCCAGTACTGCGCTTCAATTTTTTCTTTTTTCTGGCAGTGCCGGGCACCAAACCCAGGCTTTGCTCATGCTGGGCTTGTGCATTTTAAAAGATTGCGGTGGTAATGACTGATTGACTGAGATAAGAGATTGTTGACCCCTGCGTTTTAAGTTGTTCTGAAGATTCTATTTATTAAAAAAAATTGTTTTCTGCGGTTTCTACATTCTATAATTTAAGTTAAAACATTAAAAATATGAATTGTTGGGATCAATTTCTCATTGTCAAAATATTAAGAGGAAATAAAACAAAACAAGATCAAATTTAATTTTTTAAAAAAGCATATCTGCTATTGAAATCACCCTCTGTTTAAGACAAGTGTTTCTCAGCCTGGGTTACTAGAGATGTTGCCAAAGGTAGCTCAGCAACGTGCGTGCAATTTCCGGGACCTGAAATGGAAGGGATTTAGTGAAAGTGGAAAAACTACACAGACTTTACTAACAAATCCCTTAGAACAGCTTCAGTGGCCACACTGCACTCCAGGAGAAAGTGACAAAAATCCCCCAGCCAAGCAGACACCCCACAGTTCCTTTCTACACGGGGACTCACTGCAAGAAGCACTTGCTGAAACGCGAGACTCCCCTCCTGCGGACGCCACTGGAACCCACCTCTGACGGTCTCGCGCCTCCGGGTCTGTGCAAGGAGCCTCGCGGTTGAGCGCTGGTCTGCACACCGCCACTCACTCGAGCCTGCGCTGCCCTCTGCTCTTACACAAGTCACACCTCAAACCTGCATTTGCTTTATTCCCAGTGCCATTTAATACCTTATGTTTGGGAGCTTTTTCTTTTCCTTTTTTTGTTGTTTTTATTTTTCTGAGACAGGGTCTCCCTATGTAACTGAGGCTGCCTTTGAACTCACAGTGACCCTGCCACAGCCTCCCAGGAGCTCGGATTCCAGGCATGCACCACCGAAATTTTAGGCTAATTTGTATTTTTATAGCAAATGCGTTCCTTACCTCATCTCCTAGTTCCCACTTCCCACAAGGCTGCTTCATTGCCATGGCGACCACCTTACCCCCCCCCCCAACTCTGCGCAAACCTATTCAGGACGCCCCTCCCTCGAGGGCCCACAGCAGCTCTCCTGTGCCCCCCGCTTCGGGGGAAGTGAGGGCCTCTCCTGACTCGGCCCACCTCCCTCCCACAGGAGCCCACTGCTGCTCCACGCTCTCGTCACTTCAAGATGGGTCTTCTCCACCGAAGACGGCTTCCCCTCTCAACCTTTGGCAAGCCGCTCTCTCCTCGCAAAGCCCCTTCCTAGGGGGCCCCACAGCGCCCCGCCCAGGTCCCTCAGACACACTGCTCCGTTCTGCGACACCTGGAGCACCATTTCTTGGCTTCCGCCTCACCTGACTCTTGGGAAGAACCAACTACTCTTGACCAGCGATGGACAACCTGAGTTTATGAGCACGGCTTTCGCTCTGCATTGTTTTGTGATCTGTTGGAGGGAGGCATCCTGTGATTTGTTTCCCCACCTCAAGTTTAAGGCTGCCGGGCACAGGACAGACTGTAATGTTTACAAGGTGAGAAAATGAACACATGAAATCAATTTTAAGGGGCTGGGGATATAGCTCAGTGGCATAAGCGCCTGCCTGGAAAGTGCAAGGTCCTGAGTTCGATTCCCGGTACCAAAAAAAAAGAAATCAACTTTGATACACACTCCACTTCACCAAGTAGTATCTCTTCATTTTGCAGGTGAGAAAACTGAGGTTCTGGAAGGTTGTTGCCCAAAGCCTTCTGATGCCCAATTTTAACCCTTTCAAATGAAACTCAACAAATGGCCATTTCCTGCTATTTCTAATGCTACTTCAAACAGATACACTGTGTGGAAAGAAATGTACACACACACACACACACACACACACACACACACACACACGCTTTCCCAAGGCAAGGGAACCGAGCAGTCATTCTCAGGGCGGCTTCGTGCGGACTGTAGGTGAGAACGGATGACTCACCCATCCGGAAGTCGATGTAGCCCTCTCCTCCGCTGATGACCAGCATCGACTTCAGGGGCGTCTGGCTGCCAGGCTCCTGCGCACAGGGCCCCGCTTTGTCAGCTGCCAGGTCTGTGCCACCACGGCCACTCTGTGGGCTAATGACTTGACCTGTTGTACACAGGAGCAGAAGTGACCGCTACTTACCTCTCAGGAGGGCTGGGGGAGACTTTCTCTCTCAATTTTTTTCCTAAAGTACGACCCAAGCACTGGAGACGCTTTGCACAAGACAATAACACACGGAGGCTGTAGGCCCCGATCTGGGAATTGTAAATAGCGCGGTTCTGTGCTGGGCAGGATAAACCCCAAGTGCAGCAGGAGACGCGAGGGTGGAGGGGTGGGTCTCGGCTGCCGGCCCCCACCGTGACCCCGCGAGCCTGCCGTGTGTGAGGCGGGTGGAGAGCGCTCCTGAAAGGTGGGGAGACAGAAACCTCACCTTCAGCCCTGGGAGTTTGCATATTCATACTCAACGCTTACTCTGACTTCAAATCCACGACCTCCCTCTTGCTCTCCCTACCCGCGCACGCATGTGTGTCACGTTGAGTGTGTGTGTGGGGGGTGTAGTACCAGGGATCAAGCCCAGGGTCTTGTGCATTGTAAGGCAAAAGCTCTGCTACTGAGCTTCGTCCCCAGCCCTTTTAAAATTTTATTGTGAAACAGGGTGTTTCTAAGTTGCCTGCGCGGGCCTACAACTTGTCGTCCTGCTTCAGTCTCCCAAGTACATAGATTACACCGTGGCTTTCCTCTCATATAGTAAACACATCTTATCTTCTGCTTAGAGCATGCAAATAAAATTACTGCTACATGTACATTTGTTCCAAAGTTCAGCTCTAAGGTCAAATTCTTGAGCATGAAATGGTAAAGAGAAACTTTAAATATTATTCACACTGGGAACAAGTGAACAATTTGCAAGGCGCCCTCCTAGGAAACTCTGACTGTAAGATTTTTCTTCCAGCATCTTCTGTCCTTTGGTCCAATCACACAGGCCATGCCTACGGCAGCTAGCAGGACAGAACTGTATGGTGTGGTATTAAGTAGCCGATACTAACAATATTGCCGATTAGACTTTCCTTTTATACCCAACAGAAAAGTCTTGAACATATCCCTAAGAAGGCCTACAGCACAGTGGTGTATGCCTGTAATCCCAGCACTCTGGGAAGCCGAGGCAGGGCGGGTCACAGGTTTGAATCCAGTCCAGGCAACTCAGTGAGTCCCTGACTCAAAATAAAAAAAAGAGCTAGGGTCACAGCTCAGTGCAAAGGTCCTGGGTTTAGCCCCTAGCAATGATGTATCCACATGCACACACGTGAAGTCCGGTCTGTCACATTGGGGCTGTTTTTCAGATTTTTCTTAGACAGGGTCTTGCTATATAGTCAAGGCTGGCCTTGAATTTACTGTGTTTAGGGTGGGCTCAAGTTTGTGATCTTCCTGCCTCAGCCTCCCTGAGTGCTGGGTTTAACAGTGAAAAACAGGGTAGAAACCTACAGGTCCACCAACAGAAGAATGAGTAATACACAGCACATTTATTCAGACATGAGAACACCACGGCTAAATACACCAATCTGCATGCTACCAGAAAAGCCCTAAGGCAATGACTGTACCCACACCCACAATGTACCGGGACACAAGGCGTGCGTGGACCTATCATTCCTGGGTCTTCCGGCTAAGGCCGAGTGAAGGGTAACTGCGTAATGGGCCGGCGGCCACGCGCACTCCCGTCCTACGCACATGCAGCCGCGTACTCTGTGGGGCACCCTTGGAAAGGCGAGCACGATGGTTAAACGCTCCCCCCATGGCACAGTCAGTGTGCAAGTCAGAGCTGACCCCCGTCTAACTCCTTTTTCTCTGACACCTGCATTTAATAATGGGAGAATTCGCTAACAACAAGAATTAGAAAAATCCAGAGCCTTCAGTGCTGTGGAAGAGCAGACATTAAGCAAAACGCAACGGACCCAGAGGCTGTGTGAGGCGTGAAGCGAAGGCAGATGCGGCTAGGACAGTTTTACACACTCCAATGGGGGAAGCTGCAGAAGGACCCACTGCCCTGGCTGCTTGGCAGCAGGCAGCCCTACTGTGCATGGCACAGGACGGAGGCAGCAGGCCAGAGAAAGGTGAGAGAGAGCCGGACAGACCCGGGACGATCAGACAGAAGAGACAGGCAGAATTACAAAGAGATCCCTTTAAGGCCCTTTGCTTTCTCCAAAGTCTAAAATCTGAATTGAAGTATGTCAGCCAAGTTTAACGGTCACATAATGGGTAGCACTAGGCACTGTGACCGGCCAGCGGCGAAGTGATTTATAAAATAAAGGAGTGGCACGGGTCCTGCTCTCACAGGGCTCACAGCCTAAGTGAGGGGATCCCAGACGTGAGACAACCACCAACATACGTAGCAAGGAACATACATACAAATAAATACCCGTCTCAGTAACCAACACAGGAAAGCTAAGGGGTCACGTGGCAATAATCACGTAAAGTCCTTAGGTCAGTCACTGAAGGCTGCCTAAAGGGAAAAATGTTTGTCTTTTGCTTATAATGTTATAATGTCTCTCTGTATAGTACAGCGTGTACAAAGGAATAAAAAGAGGGATGAATGTGGCGAGTGTAGTAAGCAGATTAGCTTGATTAGGGTACAAAGTTCACATGGGTCTCGTTAAGAAGTGTGATGGTTCGAATAGTGGAGATCAATTTGGTGAAACACGCTGCAATGTTTGACCTAAAACAAATGCACAGGGCATCAATGTTTTCTGGGTAAGGATAAATGCATCCAGGCCAACTCCACAGCTCTCCAAGTTTGGCAGTTACTCTGAGAGATAGACACTAGCAATGGGCTAGGAGAGTACTCAGCTTCCTTGGGCAAGGCAAAGGCACTGCCTTGTGTGGGAGCTCTGATGAAGTGGCAGTAGATCCCTGCAGAAAACAGAGTTTAAAAAAAAAAAAAAAAACCCATGAAATTCCTAAGCAGAAGACCATCTTCAAAAGGCAGGCCAGAGCCTGGTAATCTCATGTTCAAGCAGAACTTCCTTGACCTTTCTTACCACCCTTACTCCTGGTGGGGAGCAGAATGTGAATGTTCTTTTTTTTTGTACTGGGAACTGAACTCAGGACCTTGTGCTTGCCAGGCAGGCGCTTGTGCTGCTGAGCTATATCCCTGGCCCCAGAATATATGAAGTTATTTTTGAACTACCATGACAATCAACTTTGATCCTAACATTTTATAAACTAAAATGAGGATGAAAAGAACCCTAGTCTACAGGGAATGTTCACGTCCCTAAAGAAGGACAGGTCAGTCTGGGCCCCAGTTCTCCGCTGGCCTTTAAGTGGAAAGGCAAACATCACACCTTGACAAGAGGCTTGTTATGGTTTGTGTCTGGATGTCCCCTCAAAGCCTCATGCAATCATGGGGCGGGCTTTTAGAGTTTATGATTGATTCCTGGTCCAATGCTGGGATTATGGGTGTGAGTGCTACACCTGCCCTGGGGCGGGTAGTTTGCATATGTAAAAAGAGGCTGCTTGCCGCCACTCCTCTCTTTTGCTCTTGTTGCTTTTGCTGTCTTCCGCAGCCGTGAGCAGTTGCCCTCTGCCATGTGCCCATGTGCCACCCTGCCTTGGAGCCAGCCGAGTATGGACTGAAACCTCCACAAACTGAGCTAAATAAACCTTCCCTTCCTTCATTTTGGGCATCAGGTATTTTGTCTCAGCAACGAGAGAAAAGTAACCAAGACAAGGCTGTACTCAGCCCAAGCAAGTAAGACCTCTTCCTCTAAGCTCCTGAGCCGAAGCTGATCCAAGAAGACGGGGGCGGCTGGGGCCAGATGCTCACAGTAGCCGGAGTCAGAGCCTGTGTCCTGAGTGTTCCCCTGGCGGGTACCAGGTCTGGCAGATGTTGAAACTGACGGCTGGGGCCCCATCTTGATACCGTTTGCCTCACAGTGAACGTCAAATAAACCCTGATGGATCTTCCTATAGATTTCTTTGGCTGTGTTAAGCAAAGCCTCTTCAACATTGCAGGCCGTTTGGGCTGAGGTCTCCGTGAAGATCAATCCATGCCCCCGAGCGAAGGCCTCTCCTAACATCCCTGCGGGACTCCAAGTCACTCCATTCCCAATCAGCACGAGAACCCTGTCGGAGCTGCAGCGCTGGCCAGCGTCCTCTAACCCTGAGGTCAGGTGGCTGCACCTTTCACGCCGGTACTGTCGTACACCAGGAGCTCTCCGCTGCTCCCCAGTAGTAGGCATGGGTGACAGAACGGAAGGATTCCTGCCTGGCCGTATCCCAGATATGTTATTTGATTTGTTCTCCATCAGTGTGGACCATACGGGCTCCAAACTCCACACCTATTGTGAGGGCACGGACGGCTTGAACCACTTGTCTGTAAACTGCATGAGGAGACATGACTTCCCCACTCCTGTGTCTCCCACAATGATGCACTTGAAGACATAAGCGTAAGTCACGGTCCCGATTCCTCCGTTTTCCGGCTCTTCCTCCATATTCCAGGTCTACAGCCACTTACCTCTGACCTCTCTAGACACTCAAGCTACCAACTTTATTCTAATTTCTAAACTTGCCTCTTAGGGGAAAAAAAAAAATTTTTTTTCAAAACAAAGGTCCCGCTTACAGAAAGTCCGCAAAATTGTTTTAATCTTCAGTGCATAGAAGGTTTTTACCAGACAGCATCGTGACATCCCAAATGTTTTCACTCTGAAGATAACAATACGTAATCTAACAACTATTGTTAATTTCCTATCACCTTGTTTTGAAATTCTGTAGTTTTTTTACTGTGTTTTGTCTTTTTTGAGACAGGGTCTCGCTATGCAGTTCAGGCTGGCCTTGAGCTCACTTTGTAGCCCAGACTGGTCTCGAACTTGCAAGGTTCCTCTGTCTCAGCCTCCCGAGTGCTGGATTACAGCTGTGTGCCACCTCGCCTGGCTTTACTGGGTTTTGTTGGGTTTTTGTTTGTTTGTTTTCTCTTTAAAATAAAATAAAATAATGTTTTCACTGACTGTCACAACCAACAAGGCGGGCAGAGCGGGCATGAAGGGCGCTCTCAGGCAGTGAGGACCAGCGGCAGGGGCTGAGCGGCCACGTGGGCAGCACGTGTACGCACGCTGCTCTCTGCCACCATGCCTGAAGGCACCAGGCACACGCCCACCTCTTCCTGTGTCTGCTCTGCGTCACTGAGGTGCCTCTGCAGTGATGTTCTGCATGAGCCTGAGACCACTTGGCGGGCTGCCGTGTCAAAGGACTACTGCTGCCTTTTGAAAGCAAGCATGTTATGTAGAAATCTAGAAACTTCCTTCTGGGAGCTGGGAACAGATTTTGAGATAACTTCTTCACCCAGGTGCCCTTCAGCACTGCCATAGCTCAGTCTACTGAAGTCACCTTAATCCCAGAACTGTGCGCGGAACCAGCTGCTGGGGCCCAGGGAGGCAGAGGAGGCTCAGTCACACGGATCCTCCCAACAGAATGCCGTGACTCACCTGGGACAGCCACGAAGAATTTCACCGCGTCCCGGTGCCCATGGAAGCAGAGTTGTGCGTGCGCCATCGAGCAGTACGGTATGAAGGTCCCTGGAGTCACTTTATCGCTGTTTTCATCACCGTAGACACGGATCACACTCCCAGGACGATTTCCTGGTGCTCCTGAGGTTTTATTTGCTGCAACAGAAAAATCACAGACTAAATATTTTCCCCTACAAGGTGGTGACGATGCGAGAAGTTACTGGTTAATCCTTATGATGTTATCTAAAAGCTATAGCCAGTGGAGGTGAAACAAGGGCAGCGACACCGGGTCAAGGCAAAGCTGGAGGAGAGAGACAGCATGCTCGTTATTTTTAAGTTCCTTAGGAGATGGAGTAGGGGATTTTGCCAGTCTAGCATAGCTATTAATTTTTAAAATTATTTTAGTTAAGCACTGTGCAGTCTGAGGAAATGGGTCTATTTTCTTTGTGGTTTATCTTCTGATTTTCTCTCGCCATGGTAAGAATGCATCCCTTGCGGCGGGCGGGAGAGCCGTGTCGAGCAGAACCCGGCTGTGACACGGGGCAGCCCTTATCCACACCAGCTCATGTCTGCTGGGGACCACAGGTGGCCAGACGCACAAACACCCCCACTCCACAGGAAGGAGAGGAGAGGAACGTGACTGTAACAGGAGGAAACGATGGAGATTAATGACAGTTTAAGAGACGTTTCAGGTTTTTTATTGGCAGGAAAACACAGTCAAAGTGAGTCCAGCTGCAACGAAAGACGATGACTAGACGAAGCTGCTGAGCTGCTGGCGGCCAGGTCACAGCGTTAGAACACAACACCACTGCAATGCAGTGACGTGGGTGGGTGACACGGAGGAACATTCCAGGGGGGTTCAGAGGGGGAGCTCAGAGGGCTCCAGAGGGGGAGCCCCATGGCAGCCAGGGTCTGCACTTACCCCTCAGCCCCAGTAAACGTCCCTGGTGGAGGATTACGGCTGAAGTGAGAGAGGAGGAAGGGGACATGGAGGCGCGCGCAGGAGGAGACGTCACGTGAGCCGCCGCCAGCGTCTCCCACCCGGCCCTGCCTGGCCCCAGCGAGATGAGCCCCAGCGAGCAGCCTGGCCAAGTCCCCGCCAGGCTCCAGAGGAGCGCGGGTTCAAGAGGCTGATCTGTGTTTCTTTAATTTTAAAGCCACTTTCATGAATCTGAATCAAAATCTTAATAATCTTATGTTGAGCATTTCCTAACTGCTTACCTTTTCCCTTTTTCTTTGTGTATGAATGTGTGTGTGTGTGTGTGTGTGTGTGTTTCAAAGAAATCCTATTTACATATCTATGCCAAGATGCAACTCTATTACAAAGAACTGTAATGAAGTCCAGGGACCCTGGAATCTCTTAGACATAAGAAATCTCAACATGTAGACCATTTTTTTGGTTTTGTGAGATAGGGTTTTACTATGTAGCCCCGGCTGGCCTCAAACTCACAGTGATCTTCCTGCCTCAGCCTCCCAAGTGCTGGTATTACAGGTGTGCACTACGCCTGGCTAAAAAGGTGGACTTATTAGTAACTGCAGAAAAGATAGCTGGAATTAAGAACATGGGTTTGTAAGACTCCAGATACACCTTCTAGTCCTCCTTCCCTTTTCCCTGAAAAAGGGTAGAGCGATTCTGAGGTCTGTACTCATAATTTTCTGCCTGTGAATTTTGCAACACAAAAACACAAAAACATTTACTTAACCGATGAGCAATGCAATGGAGAAATACACAGGGTACACTTTGTTCACAAAAATAATGGCATTCTTTTTAAACACACAATAGGTAGCTTGTCTCTAGAACAAGGAAAAGCTTGCTGACCTCCTGAGAGACTTTTCCCACATTTTCTTTTTGAGCTTGCAACTGGACAAAGAGGATATCCTAAACTACAGTCGAGGGGAATATAAAAAATTTAGCCTGGGCGTGGTGACATACACCTGTAACCTCAGCAGACCGTCTCAAAAGCGGGGCTGGGAATGCTGACGCAGCTCAGCACGAGGCCCTGGGTTCAAACCCCCTTTACTGCAAAAGCAAAAAACAAAGAAACTATGGTGAATGACACTATTTATAGATACTGGTATAACAAAGTTAAAGAAAAATGGACTTCAACTTTTATTTCAAAGATGAAATAGGACCATGATTCCTAAATTGGGGGGAAAAAAGCCTCTTACAATGAAAAACTTTTAATTATGAACACTGGTTCTGATACATGGTTACATATTCTCTGGTTTATACATCTGATGAAGGGCCGGGGATATAGCTCAGCGGTGCAAGTGCCCGCCTAGCAAGTACAAGGTCCTGAGCTCGATTCCCAGGACAAAAAACAAAGCATATTCTTAACTAAAAAGTAAATGAGGGGCAACCTACCTGCCAGGTCCCCTTCTGTCTCTCTTAGGCAGAAGCTATCTTTCCCTCAATAACACTTCCTACTCTAAAAAAAGGTAAATTAAAAAAATACGCATTTGATGAAAAATGAAAGATCAGCTTGATTTTCTGAGTTACTGCAGATCTGCCGACATCTGAACAACTGCTTCTACCTGCAGCTTTTGGACATGATTAGTTCCTGCGATTGTCCTATTTGTCCCGTGACAGTTACCTGAAGGTGTACTTACTTTCTGTCAGTGGGATGGAGATAATGACACCATTTCCTGTCCCCACCCATAAACGATTGCAGGACACCATAAGTGCTGTGATCCTCACGAAAGAGAAGCCCAGTTTCCCAGTACCTGTAGTGGCAAGAGAAGAATGTTTTATTGAGAAACTAGAGCAGACAGTGTTTTCAATGCCAAACCCCTCGGCATGGCTGCGTTAATACACGACTAGAATGTGACTGGACACGCACAGGTGTTTGCTGCAGGTGCACCGCAAAGCAAACCCTTACTTGGCCTTAGCATCCATCGACAAGGCAGGCTTAGGAGAAAAGTACAGCTCTGAAAGTGGCCAGCATGACAGCATCGGCCGGAAGGCAAACACACAGAAAACGAAGTGCCTCAGGAGATACAGCACACGGTTTAATGAAGGGTCTGTGAAAGCAAACCAGACCAAAAAATACTCAGCAAAAACCTTTACTAGACTGGGAAATCAAATACCCTCTGGTTGTATAAACTGGAAAAACTTCTGCTTTGCCTTAAATCTTTTTCTTTTCTGGTACCAAGACTTGAATTCAGGACCTCAAGCTTGCCAGGCAGGCACTGTGCCACTGAGCTGTATTTTTGGACCTGCCATAAATTTCTTTACATAGATAAAACAAGCTTTGCTAACAAAACTTTGTATATTTTGTTTATATATTTGGATTCTAAGGCAGTTTAGAAATATTAGGGTATCAAATGTAAATAATTTAGGGAGATCTCCCAAGAATTTTTATAATTGACCTATTTTTAGAGATTGCAGAGGCAGAACATTAAACAGACAGTTCTGTTAGACAAACAGCAGCAGCCCCTTACACCTGTGCTTATACGAACTGCGGGCCTGACCCTGCCGTTGGCATAGGAGTCTTAACCCCCGGTCAGCCTGCACTAGCACTCCTGAGCCCTGACTCAGCTCAGCTCCGGCATTCGTTTGTGTGCGTGTGCTCCTTCACACCTGAGCCCAGGGAGAGGCTCACAGCTACAGCCAGGTTCTCCAGGGCCGTGACCCTAAAAAGGTTAAAAACCGCTGATACGGCCTGGCCCATAAGCCCCGCTACTCAGGAGGCTGAGGAAGAGGTCCACCTAGAAACTTAGTGAGACGCTATCCCACCACGCAAAAGATAAAAAATGCAAAGGGCTGGGCATGTAGCTCTGTGACCCTGGATCTGGTCCCCAGTATCACAAAAAACGAAAGCAAACCAATGCCCGGCTCAGCTTTTCCTCATGAAAGAAATCCTTACCACAGCCCTAACAGTAAAACAGCAGTGGATGAGTTGCTAAAAACACAGCAGTAAACAGGAGCGCGGCGGCTCCTGCCCATGGCAGGCTTGTCAGCGGGGAGAGACGGACAGCTCGAATCGCGTAACACGGGTGTGGCCCCGTAACAAGAAGCCTGAGAAGGAGAGCCCAAGAGCGCACGAAGGCCTCTCCTGGGCGTGACCCGGAAGCCACGGAGAGACCAAGAACCTGCCGGCGGGAGGACAGCCCTTGCTGGCCCCGGAGGTCTCTGAGCCAGTGGTCAGTGGGTAGAGGACAGCGGTCCCCACCACCTGAGGTCCCTGGTCGTGGGACAGATGTCACCCCTCCTAAAAGGCTGGAGGGAGGTGCGTGGAGGCGACTTCTGCACAGTGGTCACCACGCAGAGCAGGCCAGCTGCGAATGGGGGCGCGGTTAGGAGTCGCATGCTTGGGGGGCAGTGAACTAGCCTTGGGGACGGCGGAGGGGAGCTGAAGAAGTCACTGATTTAATGTGACTGTGGACTTGACAGATATGAATAGGTGTGAAGTCCAAAGTATTCCCAAGTGTCCACCCAGAAACATAAGGCAGACCGCAGCATCCACAGGACGCCTTCAGTGAAAAGAGTTCCTGCTCCTGAGGCAGCTTCTTACCCAGGCCACCCAGAGCACCTCAGGACCAAGAGGCTGAGGGCAGAGCTCAGCAGGAGCGTTCCTGCCCAGCAGGCGGGCCGCCCGCACGCGCGCGCACACAGTCATTAAAAATCTCACGTTCTCCTTGACTGCTGAAGAGAAAGCGCCGCCGCGGAACTTACCCAACATTTTGCTGACATAAGGCTCAATGTCCACATCCTGCAGATGCTGGTAAGTGTGCGCATGGTAGAGGCGGAGCGTGGAGTCCAGGCGGATGGAGACCCACACTCCATCGCCCACCCAGGCCAGCTGCCGCACTTGGCTCTCCTTCCGGGGGTGCGCATCGAAGGATTTCTAGGGGAGACCGTTCCATCACAAAGGCACTTTTGTTGCACAGGGAAGTACTTTATTTTTACTTTTCTTTTTCGTCTTTTTGAGACAGGGTCTCACTATGCAGTTCAGGCTGGCCTTGAACTCGCAATGATCTTCCTGCCTCAGCCTCCAGAGCGCTAGGATTACAGGTGTGTGCCACAATGCCCACTTGGAAGTACTTTAAAAACTGCAAATCCAGCCAGGCGTGGTCATGCACACCTGAAGCCCCAGCACTTGGGGGCTGAGGCAGGCAGACCTCCGTGAGTTTGAGGTCAGCCCCATCTATAGCAAGACCCTGTCTCAAAACAACGAGCCAAAAAAAATTGCCAATCTGCACAATCTAGCAGACTATTCACTAAAAGTAGTCCAAACATTATTGAATTAATCTGACTCCTCTTCTAGATGCAATCTGTTTTCTCCTGGGATGTAAAATAAAGAGGAGCCCGAGTGGGGCTGGATCGGGGAGCGTGCAGGGTGTCACCCTGGGAAGGCAGGGTCCACACTGCACGGTGCCCATCGGAAGTCTGTGCTTGATTCTGGGCCGCTGCAGAGCCAACGGCACAAAACGGTGCCCTTGCTACTTCTCGAGGGGCACGCAGGAGGAGCAGAAACTCAGTGGCCAACTTTGGGCCTTCTAAGAAAGGGAACCGGGCTTCGGACTTAACACTTCCTGCTGTAAATTACTTACTTAAACAACTGCAATGAATTTATATAGCACAGCAAAAACCTTTAAGAACGCAATGCCAAGGTTCTGTCTGTAAACGAACTCCCACTGCAGTGTTACTTCTCGGTTTGTGTGCACGAGGTGGTGCGGGAGACTCGGGAATGCTCCTCTGGAGCAACCCTGACATAACTAAACAGGCCAGAGTGACAGACTCGCCAGGTACAGTGCGCACGCTTACATTCTCAGCTATTTGGGAGGCTGAGGCTGGAGGGTCGTAAGTTTGAGGCTAGAGGGCGCAACTTAGCAAGACCTTATCTCTCTATTCTATTCTATTCTATTCTATTCTATTCTATTCTATTCTATTTTTTGGTCTTTGGTCACTATGTAGCCCAGGCTATCCTTGAACTTGCTGTGACCCTTGAGCCCTAGCCTCCTAAGTGCTGGGACTGTAGGTGTGTTACCATATAGGCTCAAAATTTTAAAAAGGGACAGGGGTGTAGCTCAGTGCTTGGGCATTTGCCTAGCATGCATAAGGCCCTGGGTTCAATCCTCAGTACCGTAAAAATTTTTTGAAAAGTATTCAAATAAAACATAATGCTGGACATGGTGGTGCATGCCTGTAATCCCAGTACTTGGGGGCTGAGGCAAGAGGATCGCCGTGAGTTTGAGGCCAGCCTGGGCTACATAGCGAGTCTGGGCCAGCCTGAACTTTACAGCCTGAACTCAACAAAACAAAATAAAAACAAAAAACGCAGTACATCCACAGTATAGATACATATGAAGATTCATGTGTGAATCGTCCTTCTTTCAAAACAGAAAAAACAAAAACTTCCCACCCTAATAGTAAAAGCAGGAGAGTTGGGTACCACAGAAGAAAGCCTTGACATCTACAACCATCTCTGAAGTGTCCTACAACACAGATTCAGAAAATAATTCCTGGGAAACAGAAAATACTTGCAGCCGTCATAGCCTCTGTAAGCATAAGAAACGCCGGCTGACTTGCCTCTATTTTCATGGCCTTGGGCTGGACCACATAGATCTTGTTCCTGTAGCCGCACCACACTTTGTCGTGCACCACGGTCATGCACCGGATGGAGTGGTGAGGCCGCCCCAGGTCTAGGAGGTGGTAGTTGGACAGGTCCCACTGGCCATCTGTGCAGGAAAGAGGTCTCGGTTAGCGCCTGCTGAGCCCCTGGCAGGACCAGGCATCTCCGTCTGCAAACGGGAGCAATGCCATCAACGGCACAGCTGGAAGAGATCTTAACGGTCACCTGACCCAAGCTGCACGCAGGACTCAGGCCTCCTTAGAACACGCTCTCAAGGGCAGAGATGTGACAAATCATGACACGTTATCTGTCGGTAGCAGTTTTAGAATTAGAATGCACTTAAGGCCGGGGCTGAAGAGCTGGGGCAGGGTATTTGCCTAGCACGTGCGAGGCGCGGGTTCTGTCCCTAGCACTGCACCACCCCGGACATAAAACTACACTGGTGGCCATAGCTCACGTTTCGTGCTTTTCCTTGGGTAGGAGTCGAGGGGCCTCGCTGCTCCCCCTTTAGGAATGGCGCACAGTGTGAGAGTCCCTAATCCGAAACCCAAACTGTGCGGAGCTCCGGCACGCTGCTCGTACGGGACCACAGTGGTCTGTGCTTCTGCCCAGCGCAGAAAAGAAGTATCTGTAACGTTTCTGTGGCAGCTCCGCCTTCTCCTTTCAGCGCCCTGCAGCCTGGCAGAGCTCTGACCCGCAGTCCGCGGCGCTCACCCTGGCTCGCCCCACCCGCGCACTGCTGCGTGGTGCAGGGGCATCACTGCCCTGCTCGGGGCGCTGGATTTCTAGGAGGCTGAAGTGCTAACGACCTCATATCCCAGTCCCTGTCCACCCCAGGGATGCTCAGGCCCTTGACCTGTCTCCCAGCTCGCTCTTCTGAACCTAAATGCAGGGCTCACACTGGCCCGCACTCAGTGAACGTATTTTGTCTCGTTAATACAAATTTGGATTTGGTGTATCAAAACATTTTTATTTCATTTTTTTCTAGGCTCTTTAGTAGCGGAGGAGCCTTGACTAGGTGACCATAATGCTCTGTGCTTGTTTCCCATCTATAAAATGAGGAACACGCCTTGTAAGTTACTGCAAAGGTTAGATATAGGACATTCTGTGAAGGGCCTGAACAAAATAAAACACAGCCCTTTCTCTCTGTGATGATATCGCACCATTAACCCACAACCTCTAGTATCTATCAGTTACACAAAGGCATCTAAGATTCATCCACATCTGTGAACCCAAAAGGATAAGATTTCTGAAAATGCCTCGCTAAAATCCCAATTCAGTTTCTCTGTCTTCCTAATATTTCCCTTATCTATCAACCTAGTGAGGAGGAAATGAACTATTACTTATGATTGATACCTGCAATTAGGAGTTATGAAGTGATATGTGCTCAATTTCCTTAATTTAATACGTTCAAGGTAGGTTTTCTGATATTACCACCCCCTCCATTTTTGAGGGTAGAAACATTGTTTTTGTTTCATTTAGTTTTTTGAGACAGTGTCTCTACATAGCTCTGGCTAGCCTTGAACTCTTTATGTAGCCCAGGCTGGAGTGGAAATCATGATCCTTCTGCCTCAGGCTCCAAACAATGGTTTTAAAGAGGAACATAAATAATAATAAGATGTAGCTGAACGTGGTGGTGTATGCCTGTAATCTCAGCACTTGGGAGGCTGAGGCAGGAGGATCATCATGAGTTCAAGGCTATCCTGCCTACATAGTGAGTTCAGCCTGAGGCCAGGAGTGGTGGCGCACACCTGTAATCCCAGTACTCGGGAGGCTGAGGCAGGATTGTTGCGAGTTCAGGACCAGCCTGGGCTACAATGTGAGCTCAAGGCCGGCCTGAATGGCATAGCAAAACCCTGTCTCAAAAAGATAAAAAAAAAAAAAAGGCCAGCCTGAATGAACTACATAGTGAGACCTACTTCAAAAAACCAAACCCAACCAAACCAAAAAAAGAACGAAAAAATCTTTATAAATGTAATTAGATGTGCATTATTTTTAAGACACAGGAGAACACACAAAAAAATAACCTCATCACTTTTTTCTAATTAAGTGTATGAATGCAAAACAAATGCCTCTGTAACACACTGTTTATACAGAATACCAGAAAGTGCTGACAGCTTCCTCACTCTGGCAAACACACCTCCATGGGTTTACTGTTACCTCACTGATTTCACATTTACGGACACTCGTTTAGATGCTGCTAATATTCAGTTTAAATCTGTGTGGTTATTTTGCTTATTAAGCACCACTTCTTTAAAGCATAACCAGCCGACCTGTTGGGAGCACCCTGCCAAGTAGCCAGCCGGTGCAGGTGTCACGTTTATAACCACTCACCAACTCCCCGGTGAAAGATCGCGAGGGTGCCGTCAGCCAGCGCCACTAACACGATCCCTTTCACGTGCCTGCAGACAGGAAAGGGATTTCAGGACCTGCATGTGGGAACAAGAGGGGCTACAGAGCCCCTCCAAGGGCCGGTGACGCGAGGAGGAGCTCGCCCCCAACAGGAGCACACTGCCTTCTGCACTGGGACGGGGCGCTCCGGAAAGCGTCAGGTGACCCAGCGGACTTCAGCTGTGCTCTGGCCAAGCCGCGTCCCTCCTCACGGGTGGCAGGTGCGATTCCACAGCAGAGACACCCTGACGGCAGCCAGCGCCAGCTCTGTGGGCTCTGCTCGTCAACATGTGGAACAGGACTAGCACCTCTGTCCCCAACAGACACACAAGCCACAGAGAACATTCTAAAACATGCAGATCAACAGGCATCGGCTCACTCCCTGAAGGACAAAAGAACTCGCAGTATGGTGAGGAATCAAGCTGGCAAATTTTCCCTTCTGCTTACTTCTCTAGTTTACTTTTTCTTACACTATTTCATTCTCTGTGGGAGACATTACAAGGTGGCTCTGAGCAGGGTTTGATACCAACCAGCTGGCCTTCATGTTTACTTGCGAGCTGTCCAAAGCGTGGGCCACTTGTCTGGGGATGGGCAGTGGACTCACAGTAAGTGAACCTCTGTGAGTCATGGGTCACCGCTGAGGCCTCAAAGGACAAGGTAAGGCCACAGCTGAGGACGTTTGGCTCCAACTCCAATTAACTACAAGGAGACTATAGCTGTAGGCTCCACACTCCTACAATAAACACAACCTAACGGTAAGGTAGTTCTCCGGATTGACATCGATATATATCAAAATCCACAGTTTAGAAAAAGGGCTGAAGAAACGCCACTTACACAATGCTGAGGATGGAGTCCTTGAGTTTGATGGAATGGAGACACTTCCTCCACTGGGCCACAGACGAGTGCACGTAGAGGCTGCGGGACAAGCCAAGGCCAGTAAGGCAGAGACCGAGTGGTTCACGCGGCTCTGCAGCTCTCAGCTCTAAGCCGGTGCACACCTCTCCATCACTCCCGACAAGCTTCGTCCTGGCTCGGGCCCCTGCAGCCACACCCTGGCTTACTCCTCGGTCCTTCCTACCAGCATCCCAATCTATAGCAACCTTCTACACACTGATGTGCTGTCTTGGTGCTTGCTATTCTGGATCTTCTGCCTCTAGATCATTCAGACTTTAAAATGTTATTCAAGGGCCAGGGATATAGCTCAGCGGCATAAGTGCTTGCCTGGCAAGCCTGAGGTCATGAGTTCGATTCCTGGTACCAAAAAAAAAAAAAAAGTTATTCAAGCCAGGCATGGTGGCACATGCCTGTAATCCCAGCACTTGGGAGGCTGAGGCAGGAGGATCGCTGAGTTAGAGACCAGCCTGGGCTACAAAGTGAGCTCAAGGCCAGCCTCAACTACATAGTGAGATCCTGTCTCAAAAAGACAAAAAAAAAATCTTATTCATCCCTTCTAAAAATATTATAGAAGGGGCTGGGAATTTAGGTTAGTGGCACAGTGCCTGCCTGGCAGCACAAGGTCATAAGTTTGATTCCTGGTACCAGAAACAAACAAACAAACAAAAAACAAGAAAAAAAAAATAAAAATATTATAGAGGACTTTCTATGACCAAAAAGAAACATAGTTTTACTGTTTAGAACAAATACAAGTCCAGTTTATGAAGCGGCTGCAACTAACTTCAAATTTTGTATGCATACACATTTCTGTGTATTAATACATACTTCTCTTCGTGTTGTCACCTTACTTATTTACCCTCTGCACGCGCACTCTCTCTCTCACGCATGCGCTCACATGCACGGGGGCTACAGATGCTGTCCAGTGAGGAGTGCGCCCTACCAGCCATTCTGAGCGCCCAGCCACATGGTCGGCAGCAGGCTGCTCATCTTCTGGGCTTCCTCCCTCGCCAGGTCTTGTTCACTTGGCAACACCGACGATACAGGGTCTTGATACACGTCTGAATCGTTACTGCAGAGGCGGGCACAAGGACACACGTCAGAGCACACCGAGCTATGGCTTTCAGGGCAGTCCCTGAAATGCCCATGTTTAAGTTTGTAACTACCAAGAAAACCCCAAACACAACACATCAAATACTAAAATTCCTGAAAAGCCAGTGTTAAATGCTTACATATTCTATCTCTCTCACACAAACAAAAGGTGATATGTAAAGAATTTTCCAAAATAAGCTGAAATATGTTTACATATTCTGTCAAAAAACATTTACATTGTCAGGGTGAATTTAGTACAAAATATATAACTGTGCTATCAAAATCAAAACATATTATTCCTAAACTAACAATTAGCTGTTAATACACTCCTTGTGACTCTCTTCACTAGAAGAAAGAATATTACATTGTCAAAAGAATCTAGTTTACAGAGACCCTCATCTAAGGCAATCTAAAAAAGACAAAGAACCAGGCTGTTTTCTAATAAAACAGTTCTAAGAAAACTAAATTCAAGAACATTATTAAAGCCCACGAGTGGAGCTCAAGCCATGGTAAATGTAAACAATGGCCCACGTTGCTGGTAACGAGTGGGCCTGACAGTGGAGGAAGGATTAAAATGGCAAAGAGTCACAGGGTGTGGGGGTGCACGCCTGTAATCCCAGCACTCAGGAGGATGAGGCAGGTGGATCCCCACCTGTTTGAGGCCAGCCTGGGCTACAAAGTGAGCTCAAGGCCAGCTTGAACTACATAGTGAGACCCCGTCTCAAGAAAAAAAGAAAAGATCAAAGACTCATTAAAGAATGTAAGATTTTGCTTGTTTTTGTTTTTTGGAGACAGGGTCTGGCTATGTAGCCCAGGCTGGCCCTGCACTTGCTGCAATCCCCCACCGCAGCCTCCCCGGTGCTGGGATTATAGTCGTGTACCGCCACATCCAGTGACAGCACCCTTTTTTAAAACATTATACGAGAGAAGAAGATGACCAGGCAGATGGTCAAGATTATTACTTTTTTTGCTATCAGAAGAAGGAGAGGGAGACAAGCACCCAGAACCAGGAGCAGGAGGGAGACGGAGGCACAGCGGGGATGGGCAGCGGCACCTCTCCGTCCTCAGCAGCGACGACAGTTAGTGGCAGCCTTTGGCTCCTTGAGCGAGTTCTGGCTCTCTCTACCTATGCCCCTGACCCACCCTCCCGAGTCAGCGACCTCGGACGTGTACCTCGACTGATAGACCGGGGACAGGTCTTCGGGGATCTGCACCCCCAGAGGGTCCGTGAAGACGTGCTCGGTGTACACACCGGGCTGGGAGACGTCCACAGCGTCTTCTGCGGACCCGGCGTTGCCTTCGGTGGCCTCCGTTGCCTCCTCAGCGGTTGGAACACTTTCGTCAGCCTCACTGTGTTCCGCTTCCATTTCTATAAAATGCACAAAACACTCCAGTGCGACCTTTCCGTGCCAACACCGTCCCCACGAAACCCCGGTTGTGGCGCGTAGGCCGGGAGCGCTCCTCCCGCTCTGACGCGACCCCCAGAGCTCAGTTTCCCTAACCCGCCACCTCGGCATCTTCCGCCCAGCCCCCCCGCCCTGCTCCCGGAGATCAGCGCGCCTACTCCGAGGCGCCCGGGGTGCGGGCAAGGGCGCGGTACCTGGGGGCCTGTCTGTCACTGGAGAAGCACCGTTGGTACTAGGGGACGTGGCAGCTCCCGTCGCACCTTCTGTGGAGCAACCGACCACCGTGATGCCTCCCAACAGGCTGTCGGTCTCTGCAGAGCTGTTGCTCGTCATGCTTCCGCATAAGGACGCCTTGTCCACCTGACCAGACTCTGAGAGCTCCTCTCCTGCGGGGTAGTCTGTTTCCCGGGCTCCTGAAAAATGATGTAAGTTTTTTTTTAAAGATTCAGTAAGAGCCAGGCACAACGGTGCAGGCCTGCAGTCCCGGCGACTTGGGAGGCTGAGGCCGGAGGATCACAAGTTCAAGGGCAGCCTAGACAACTTAGTGGCATCCTTTCTTGAAATAAAAGCCAAAGGGCGAGGGCTATAGACAAGCCCTGGGTTCAATCCTAGTATCACCAAAAAAGGGAAGAAAAAGTAAACTTCTATACATAGCTTTGTTTTTTTAATTAAAGCAATGAGAGTCCTTAAACTAACCTCTACAAAATGGGACTATAGCTTAAAAGGAAAAATAGTATTATTAATGGAACTGCAAACAGAAAACCTGAGAATGTCAGAGAGGTACCTCTATCTTTAACAAGTTTCTCAGCCACATGAAGTTCAAAACAGCCTAATAATTATGTCTGGTACCAAGTCAGAAACAAATGTTTTTCAAATTAACAAGGTTACTACTTGAAATATGGCCTTTTACCCACTACTGTTAAGTTAGTTATCCTAAATTCGGCATGGTGGCGTGTACCTGTAATCCCAGCACTCTGGGAGGCTGAGGCAGGAAGATCATAAGTTTGAGCCAACCTATGGGCAACTAACTTAGTGACTTAGCAAGACCTTGTCTCAAAATAAAAACTTAAAAGGGGCTGTCACTCAATGCAAAGACCCCAGGTTAAATCCCCAGTACCACGAAAAAGAAACAAAACTAAGAAGAAAAAGCAAAAAAGTTAATCATCCTAAACACATATAATGCCTAGTGATATATATTAATAAGGGTTTTTAAAAGGTGAAAGATTTATATGATCTGAAGAGAAATCAGAGTACAATAATAAGGCTTTTTAAAACTAAGCATACACAAGATAAACTTCAGTTTAAATTTAGAAAATTTTTTTTCATATCACATTAAAATTTATATTAAAATATTATATATAACATAAAATTTACCATTTTAAAGTGTATAATTCAGTGGCATTACATTCGTAACGTACAGCCATCAGTGCTATTTCTGAGACTTTTCCAGGTCCCCCCTGAAATTCTGCACCCGCTAAGCAGTAGCTTCCTGCCGCCCCCCTCTCCTCCAGGCCCTGGCAGCTGTGACTCTGTTTTGGTGCATTGGTCTGACCTGGACATCTCATGTAAGTAGAGTCACACAACTCTTGTTCCTTTCCGTCTGTTTTTTTTCCTACTTAGTATGTTTACAAGGCTCACCCACATGACAGTAGGTGCCAGGCTTTTGCTATAGTCAACAATGATGTACATAAAAGAGGACAGATCTCATATTAAGTGTTCACCATGCACACACACGCACTCCAGAACGAACTTCATTCCTTTTAACGGCTGAATAATATCCCATTGTACGGAGATACCACAATCCCCTCTAATTTTTTTAAACTAATTTTTAAGTATCAGCTATTTGACTCAGAAATTTTGGAAAGCAGCTATGCTAACCACTATACCACCAACGCCTCTGTTTGACTCAGAAATTTTGAAAAGCTTGCTTTTTTTTTTTTGGTGGTTTTGAGACAGGGTCTCACTGTGTAGTTCAAGCTGGTCTTGAGCTCACTTTGTAGCCCAGGCTGGTCTCGAACTCGCAACGGTCCTCTTGCCTCAGCCCCCCACTGCTGGGATTACAGGCGTGCACCACCATGCCCGGCTAAGGGCTTGCTTTATTAATCAAACTAAACAGTTCCTTGTTCTGCCTCCCAGTTATCTTCTCAAATTATCAGTTTTATTTTCCTCACGCTGTTTTTCACTATCTGAAACACTGTGTTATCAATGGCTTTATTTGTGACTCTCAACGAGACGCCACGTTCCACGAGAGCGCGCGCACCAGTCCCCCCTCCTACCCGGGACGCTGGCGATGCACAGGACGTGCGAGTTGCACACGGTGAAGCTGTCGAGGATGTTGCCGGGCTGAATGGCATCGATGATGATCACCTTTGTCGCTGAATGAGTGCTGGTGCAGATCCACACCTGACTGGATAATTCCTCATGGGCTTTTAACTCCTTCTGCTGTTCCTACGCGGGCAAAGTCAGGAAAATGAGCAGTTAAAATCATGTTTGTCTGCATAGCAACACCTTATCTCTTTTGGGTTTTTTTTTCCGGTACCGGGAACCGAACTCACGACCTTGCGCTTGCCAGGCAGGCACTGTGCCGTTCAGCTAAATCCCCAGCCCCGGCAACACCCTATCTCAAGAAAAGACCAAAAAAAAAAAAAAAAAAAAAAAATCATGTGTGTATACAAATATCTACAAAGCTGTGCTATTATGGTAAAAGGTAATGCTATTTCAAATTTATTCTAGATTATGTGGAAGACTAAAATTGTGACTTGCTGGGCATGGTGGCGCACGCCTGTAATCTTGGCACTCAGGAAGCTGAGGCAGGAGGATTGTTTTGAGTTCAAGACCAGCCTGGGTTACAAAGTGAGCTCAAGGCCAGCCTGAACTGCATAAGGAGACCCTGTCTCAAAAAGAACCCCCCCCAAAAAAGTGTGACTCATCAGTCCTGATCACTAGATTAAAAACTAGTAGTTACAGCAGATCGGTGATTAAAATGTGCTGTATAACATGGAGTGTACACTTGGTAGGATTCTCTGAACTCTAGCCATTGCAGGCGCCTCCTTGACTGTGTGTAAATTATACCTCAGTAGCACTGGTTTTAAAAGGGTAGCTGGAAGAACGTGGGCATAGTGATTCCTGTTAGAACCTCGGCCCAGAACTAAACCCGGGACCAAAGAGCTAAACAAACACTCCGAGAGAGCAGGTCAATGCCAGTGCGCACGCGTACCTTAAGCTCCTGATCTAACTTATCCAAGCTGCTCTGGGATGCACTCCGCTGTTTACCGCCTTCCGTATCCAAACCAGTAACGTCCTTGTAAAACACGCTCGCTCCAACCACTGACCCGCCGTCCCTGGTCTTCCCACCAGACAGATTCACTCCGACCGCACACCACAGCTTCTCGGGGAGGGAGACAAGGCACTGTTACTTCACTTTCACTCTAAAAATGTTTAGGATTTCTCATCTTTTCTTAAACCTTTTTGGTTTTAGGGAACAAAAAAAGGAAGAAGTAGGCAAAAAAAGAAACTACCCAGAGCCTGACGTTCCCCTGTCTCCTTTAGCTTCACAGCGAGCTCACCTTCATGGATGCATCTTTTTCGTCAAGAGGTCGGAGATAGACAGGCACAGGTAAATTCTTCATCTTATTTTCCCCTTGACCATTGGTCACCTGACAGTGGAAGGGGACACACAAATTAGAAGCCTCACTGAACGCGAACTTCCCTCAGGACCACTGAGACACACGCAAGGGCTACTCTCACACATTTGCTCCATGAAATCAAACTGTCCAGTTTCGTTGTTCTTATTTGAAAGTAAGCAACCAAGTAGCAATTTGAGCAGGTAAGTAGGGCGCGAGCGGAACTCAGAAGAGAGCCGCTGACTCACGCGCACGGGTGTGCAGGTCTGTACACAAACGCGCTGCGTACTGGGAGGGGCAGGGCCGGAGGGGACAGGTCAAGTTCCTGAAGACCTGAACTCGGGGTTAGTGAGCTGTTTGAAACACTCTATGCCAATAGCTTTTTGTAGCTTTTGCTACTTAAAAAATAAGACCTGCAAACATTAAAACAGGGCTCTTCTAATTAAGGCAGAACAGGAAATGACAAGTCCCACGAACTCTTGCGCCCCAGAGGCCCCCCCTGTGTCACAGACTTCGAGACATCACACACACACTCTCGGGAGCAGCGCGGAGTTCACCAGGCTCAACGCTTCCTACCCGTGGGCCAAGTCTGTGCCACTAAAACGAGCAGGTCTGGACATACATTTCAAACGCCTCACACCGAGCACACCTCTCTCGCTCAGCACGTGCACGGCACCTGTCTGTACTTCTGAGGCAGACTCCAGCCGAACGCCTGCACGCGCCCGTCCTCCTTCTGCACGTGCGCCTTCACCTGCCGGTACTGCTCTCTCTTCTGCTCTCTGCGGGACGCTAGACTAGCTTCGGTTCTACAGGGAAAGAGATTCCCTTTCTCAATTAGGTGAAAATAACCAAAACCGCATCTTCATCTCATGCTAAAGCGGCAAAGAAAAACAACGAAAAATATTCGACTCCAAATCTTTTATTCAGACAATTGCTTTATAAAAAGTGCTAGGCTTCCTGGTGTGCACCCTAAGGGCCCAGGGTTCTATCCGAAGCACCACCAGACAGATAAGACAGACAGACAGGCAGACCACACACACACACACACACACACACACACACACACACACACACACACACACAGTTACAGCTGGTCTGTGTTTATGCAGTGAAACAATAACAGGTAAGCAGCCTGCTACGTATTTTTTTCTTTTCTTTGTACTGGGAATCTAACTCAGGACCTTGCGCTTGCCAGGTAGGCGCTTGTGCCACTGAGCTACATCCTGGCAGCAGCCTGTTACACTGAACCAGTTCACCCGTAGCCATCCCACTCCTACCAGGTTTGTAAGTATAAAAGAGAAAAATCCTCCCATAATGTTGGTTCTTCATTTTTTGTTCATCCAACAAACACAGAATTTTCAAACGCCAAGAATGTGCTAGAAGTGACTAAAGATCAGTTGGTCAGTACCTGCTTAGGAGGATCATGTAGGTTCAGCTCAAATCCCACTAACTTGTTGCAGAGGATACTGCAAATTGATGTAGAATAAAAAAATAATTCTGAAAGCATTTTCTTTTTCTTGTGGCCATTTAAGTGTTTGTGAGTGACTCGCTGTGCTAACCAGTGTGCCCACATCTCAGGCACTTCCCAGGTCCTGGTGCGGCGCAGCCCCAGCACCCGTGAGACACGCTATACTCATTTTCAGGCAGAGAAAAGGGGCCCTACACGTTAGCCTGTCCACATGTGTGGACCTAACAAGGAGCCGGGTCTGGAGGGAAACAGAAGCACGGACTGTGAGTAGTCACACACAGGAGCGAGGGGACAGCAACAGTTTAGGGATCTGTCTGAATCCTATGGAGAGCTGATACGCGGCAAGAAACTTCTAAGTCACTAACTTATTCTGGCCCTGACCACTGGCCCTGGAAATACTCACTCTTCACTAAGGAAGTCAAAGGCTTTGGACTTGTCTCCAGGGAGCTGCGACAAGGTGCTGCTTCTCTTCTTGACGGACGGGGTCACATGAGAGGTGGGGGCGTTGTACTTCAGATTGACGGGCGGCTCGGGCTTCTTTGTCGTGTTACTTGAGGAGCTGAAAAGTCGGCTGAAACTAAACAGGAAAAGGTGTGTGTCTACCATGTGCACGGTGGAGAACGAGCCGCTATCGCCTATGCTCGAGAAAATTCCAGGTGCTTGTGCAAGGCAGGGAGTTTGGGCCCGGCACAAAGAGCTGTGCATTACACCGGAGCCAGACTCGGCTTCAGAGGAAGAGAAAAGACTGCTCGGGAGCTGGGTGCCTGTTCTTTAATTAGCAGTGTCCGTAATGAAAGGGGAAAGGCCCTGAGTACCAGACACTCCCGCTGAACAAAACCCCGTAAGAGCAGGGCTAAGCAGCAAGGTCCGCACGGCCGAGCCCGCGGGGCGGTGGGCCACACACTGCTGCTAACACAGCCTCCACACTTCCTCGGCAAGCGCAAGTCACTTTCGTGCCCACATTTAAAAAAAATTGTTGCTTTCATTAAATAGCAGATGCACTGAGAAAGGGTAAGTCTGCAGCACTGTAAATGCACAGAACTTCTGGCACAAGCATGATCCAAGTGCACCGCGCGCACACACTGATCAAACCCGGCAAACACGAGACTGATCTCCACTCTGTCAGGTTCTTTACCAACACCAACCGTGAGTCAGTAACTTAGCAGGACCCAGGTAACAATCAAGGTTATGCATAACCCCCTTATTTTAATTGGGCAGAGGATTCCAAACACATAACCAACACAATGCAGCTTACGACAGGACATTTTTTATGCTTCAAGAACAGGCTTACCGCGCTGGCATACTATATGACAAAGGAAAATTCCAGTTTAGCTATTTACTCTTAGATTTTAGAAGCAGACTGTGTCTTGTCCCAAAGTGCTAAGTCCTTCATGTACTTACAACTGCCAGATGCTTGACCTTTTTTTTTCCTGCATGGCTGGGTTTTCTCGTGATGCCCTGCAGTAAGAGAAGAACAGAGCTATCAGCTCGGTGTCCTGGCTCTGTCTGAAGAGCAGAGGACCCAGGGTTTACGGAATGCAGGGAGGCACTAACAGTTAGGTTCAGCAAGTAGCTACTTTCACCAGCTATGGGCCAGCTGGTCTCCTAAAGCTAATACGACTGAGGTAAATAAATACCCCTTCCCTCAAAGAGCTCTGCTTGTGAGGGAAGATCATCATCTGTGATGAACAGTCAGTCAACATACCTTAATGTTAGTATCTAAAAATTTTCCATTTCAGTTTTAAAGAGAAAAGACTTGCTAGGTTGCCCAGTGTGGTCTTTGTTTTTAGTTTTGTTTTGAGACAGGGTCTCCCTGTCTAGTTCAGGTTCATTGTGAACCTCAGGCTGGTCTTGAACTTGCGGCACTCCTCCTGCCTCAGCGTCCTGAGTGCTGGTATTATAAGCCTGCACCACTATGACCATCGTTCCATGCCCAGCTGAGATTACAGGCACACCCAACAATATTAAGAATTTTTTGCTGACCTAGGCATTGTGGCGGATGCTTGTCAGTAATCCAGGCTATGTGGGCTGAAGCAGGAGGATGACAAGTACAAGGCTAGCCGGGGAAATTTGGCAAGGTCATCTTGGAATAAAATTAAAAAGGGCTGGGGATGTAGCTCCGGGGCAGTGCACTCGCCTGGCATGCACAAGGCCCTGGATTCAATTCTCAGCAACACACACAAACACGCAGTAGACGCAAAGGAAAGGAGAAATACCTCTAACCCTCCCTTTTGAAATACTACCTTTTATGTCCCCGTCTTTACATGAAGGTGTATCAGCTGTGTTCTCTGCTCTCCCCAAACAGCTCTAGCTGTACTGCTCTAGTGGGGCACTGTTCCCGGTACCGACAGTTTTCCCTAACTGAAAAGACGACCACGGGAAGAGGATAAACTGGACTGAGGGGACCTCCACAAGACTTCAGGAAGCAGGACACCGAGCAGGTTCACGAAGGCACCGAGGAGTCTGCCACCCCTACCACAGCTCGCCCTTCGCTGCTTTTTTGTGCTTAGAGAATCAACTTAAAACACTTCTTAACTCAGTGAGTGAGCTGAAAGTTGCTGACCCCCACAGGGCTGTTACCGCCGCCACCCAGCCATTGGAGTGGAGCCCGGCCCTCTGCCTTCGGGGTTTACAGCACTCCTGCATTATTTAACAGCCTTACTCCTTACAGCCGTTAAAAACACTCTTCTCAAGTTAGTGTCTTTGTCCAGTAAATAAGGACTAGAACTCTCCTCTTTCACCCTCAGTAGCTACAGCAATTAGAGTAACAGCAAATTATAAAGTGTTGTACAAAATATTTCACTCTACTATGACACTGGTAGATGTACACCATGTTAAAGGATATAATCACAAGGAAGTAAAACTGGAAAGTTAGAAAATATTTCATAAGCTTAAAAATAATTTATCACTATGTGCTGTTTTGGTAAATCTGATCTGACAATCCAAGTCAAGACTATGGGTGAACTGGTGGACCAGGAATTTGCAAACTCATCGTGAGTTCTCTCAAAATTAAAGGAACACCGTTACCGAGAATGTGACCACTAGGTGGCAGCATTAGGTATGATTCGCAGATACAAGAACAGACAAGCACACGTTATTTTCCCCGAATTATGGAAGTTATTAAAAAAAAAGAAAGCCAGCCCGGAGGAGAACAGAGATGATTCAGGTTTGCTGGGAAGCGGGGAAGAGAAGGAAGCCGATTCAGCCACTGTACGCATTCACTGAAGAATCATACGGAGCCCCATTAATATGTACAATTACCACGTATGGATTAAGAAGATACAGAAGAGCTGGGTGCGGCAGGACACACCTACAATCCCGGCACTGAGGGAGACAGAGGCAAACTGCAAGTTCAAATCCTATCTGGGCAACTCAGTGGTAATCCTGTCTCAACACTAAAGAAAAAAATAAAAATAAAAAGGGCTATGGAAGCACCACCACGCCTGTAGTCCCAGCACTCAGGAGGCTGAGGCAGGAGGATCACTGCAAGTTTGAGGCCGGCCTGGGCTACAAAGTGAGCTCAAGGCCAGCCTGAACTGCATAGTGAGACCCTGTATCAAAAAATCAAAAATAAACAGATAAATTTTGAAAAAAATGAAGAAGGGCTATGGCTAGAGCCCTGTGCTACAACGCCCTTGAATCAATCCCCAGTACCAAGCAAAAGACCCAAATGACCGAACGATGTCCCTGAAGGTGCAATTTGCATGAACAGAAAGAGATGGAAAACCAAGCACATTTCACAGGAAGATGGAAGTAAAAATGACTCTTTCCTTGTTTTGTATAGGAAATTTTGATCATTTCCTGACACCACAGAAGTAGCTCTTCTATATTTTTTTGAAAAATAACCAGCATTCCCAAGTAACAACAATTGCCTTTTACAGGCCGTGGGAGCACCGTGCAGGATCACATAGAGGTCTACAAGACACCCACTCTGACTCTGTGCTGTTTCTTTTCTCTCTTTTGGTACCAGGAATCGAACCCAGGACTTCGCACTTGCCAGGCAGGTGCTGTGCTACTGAGCGACATCCCTGGCCCTTCGTGTAGTTTCTAAGCCGAGTCCTTATTCATTACTTAACCCCTGACTCAGTGCAGCGGTGGAGAACACATTTCTCAGGTGTAACTGTACAAAGTCTCTCCCAGGAGACACAGGAATGCCTTGGTTGCTTAAGGCGGACTTCGTTTCTGAGCCAGGAAATGAATGTACACATAAATCCGGGACATGGCAGCAGGAAAGCACCAGGAGATATCCCACACGAACCGAATCATCTCCGTCCATCGGACGGCTTCTTGGAGCTCCATCAGTCTCTCTTTATACTGGTTTCTCTCCATGAGAACTCGGGCCATCTCTACTCTCGTGAACCGCTTCCTCTGGGCCGTGGGGATATCGCTCTAGAACGACAAGAGGGCAGATCACTCAGGGGCTTATATCCACTTTTGTGCTCATGTCTACTTTTTAAACATTCCTTAATTTCTAATCCAAAAGACAGCTTAAAGAAAAATGCCCTTAAGCTGAGTGTGGTGATACATTCCTCTAATCTTAGAGCTCTGGGAGGCTGAGGCAGGAGGATCCCAAATTTGAGCCTAGCCTGGGTAATTTAGTAACTTAATACAGACTATCTTTAAAAAAAAAAGGCCAGCTGGCTTGGAAGGGACAGTAAGAGGCTGAGCAGCCCTCCCCCTCTGTGCCCCTCCAACAGAACCTGGCCTTTACTTTAAATAGAACTATAAAAGCTAACAACAAGTAAAGAAGACCTGAATTCTGTGGCACGGCACCCCATGCCAGGCTTATACTACAATGTTCTCGGCAATAGTACTTGTGGTGGTAAAAAAGCTGCACGTCACCTAAAGGTCGGTAACAGGCAAATAGACAACGCGTAGACTGTTTTTACAGTGGGATGCTAGGAACGAACCGCGGCACTGTGCTACAGCACCGGGGAACCTGGAGGACATGCTGCGGAGCAAAAAGGGCAATAGCCGAGACTAAGCGCAGCGTGGACCACAAAACAATACGCTTCAGAGAGTGCGCGTGTGCGTGTTGTGCCTGCGTCAGGAGGACTGCAAGTCTGAGTGCAGCCTGGGTGGCTCAGAGAGGCCCTGTCTCAAGGGTAGCTCAGCGGTGGGGACCCTGGGTTCAACCCTAAGCACAGCTTCCCCAGCCCCCAATTGGGTGGCAGATTGACAGTATGAACTACCTGGGGCTGACTCGCTAGTACTGAAGCTCTGGACTTCATCTCCTTTGGTTAAATACTACCCAACAATTTTAACTATGGAGTTCTCATATTTCTAAATCAAAATCTGAGACAAAATAACCAGTATCAACCCCCCCCCACACTGTCCTATTGGTCCTTGAACTTTGAACCTGCAAACACAGGTCAGAGCAGAGCCGCAGAGGAAAACAACTGTGTCACTACCCCAGGCGCACCCCGAAACAGGTCTTCTAACTGTAACAATCTCTCCCGTGCTGCCTGAATGTTCAAAGCGTAATGAGCAAGGCTTTCCTGAGATACTGAGACCTGGTGAGGTCAGAGCAAACACCCGGAACCGTAAACCTACATCATCGTCATCTTTGGCTTTTTGCCTTGCATCTTCGGCTTCGGCACGAGCTCTAGTGGGAAAAAACAAAACATGTTATCTGAATTGAGTTCAATTTTTCAAATAATGAAAGGGCAGGCAAACAGTTTAACTATCACTAAAGAATGGTCTTTCTTTTGCCAACAGTGTATAGTGCCGTGTCCAGTTTATAAAAACGTTATCAAAGCACTCCTTAAAAAAAAGGAAAAGACAGGTCTCAAAGGAAAATATTATAGATTTTTAGACAGTTCTCTTTTCACATCAAGGCAGACGCAAATGGTAACCTCTGCGTGACAGGCCGTGTGTGGCCGGGCACTCTGCTCTCTCCCAGCATGCCCTGGCCCTTCCCCAAGGCCTCTGCCGCAGGGTCGTACCCGGAGCCCTCTGCGGCCGGCGGGGCAGACAGCCAGGCTTGGGGGGCGCTGACACTTACTTCCTGAGCTCCTCCTCCAGTTCTCTGTTCTTCTCCTCCAGCTTCAGCTTGGCCTGCTTCACGGCCTCCAGCTCCCCTTGCAGCACGTCCTTCTCACAGGTCAGCTCATCCACTTTGGCTATCAAGTCGTTCTTCACCACGTTCAAAGCGTTTCTACGAAACACATGTCCAAGCGCGCCGTTAGAGATGTTCTTCCCGTCCTTCAGCTCACTCCTTTGCGGACTACAGTAACCGCCTGACTACAAAGGTGAAGAACTGGCCACGTCAGGACATTCTACCCAATGCCGTGTGTGGATAAAGGTGGAAAGGACACAACACGGCCCTCTAAGTTTGCACTCTTCCCTCTTATGAAGGATGGATTAGTCAGGACAGACCACCGAGAAACGAAGAGCCACGAGTAAGAACAAGCTTAAAAACCTAGTGTTTTTCCCCAGTGAGGAAACGTGTACAGTCTGACTCCCAGCCCTCGCTCCAGAGCCCGCAGAGGCGAATCCACTGGGGCTGGCTGGGCAAAGAGGTTGGCGTCAAAAGGAGCTGAGAGCTGGGTGTGGTTGTGCACGCCTGTAATCCCAGCACTTGGGAGGCTGAGGCAGAAGTATCGTTGTGAGCTCGAGACCAGCCTGGGCTACAAAGCTCAAGGCTTGCCCACACTACATAGTGAGACCCTATCTCAAGAAGACAAAACCAAACAAACGTAGTGAGCTCAAGGCCAGCCTGAACTACACAGCGAGACCCTGTCTCAAACAACTATAAAGAAAAAAAAAAATTAAAAAGAAAACATAACAGCCAGGCATGGTGGCGCATTCCTGTAATCTCAGCACTCGGGAGACTGAGGCAGGAGGATTGTTGCAAGTTTGAGGCCAGCCTAGGCTACAAAGTGAGCTCAAGGTCAGCCTGAACTGCATAGTGAGACCCGGTCTCAAAACAGGGGGAGGTGGGGAGCTGAGGGATTATCACATTTCTTTAGCCAAGAACAGACGAAAGAAAAAAAAAAAGCACTCTGTTTTGCTACTACTGTTCCAAGTTCTGTTGAGGAGATATTACCTAGTCAAGAAAGTCAAATTACTCCTCTGTAATAATCAATGAGGAACTCATCTAGACTAGAAAGAAACTGAAGAAAGAGAAAATGTAAGATCCAGTTCCTCTACTGCAGTGGGTGTGGGGCGTCATGATGGTGGCGTTCTGCAAGGGTACACGCATGTTCCCAGTGTCTGACCTGGGAAGACGGGGGACCCGGGCTGTTTAAAGGGCCTGTTCGATTAGTACCCGCCGCATGCATGGGGCCGAGACTCCATCATCTCATCTGGACTGGAGAATGTTAAGCTGATGAAGCACTGCTGACTGCTGGCCAAAAATCATTTGTTTCTTGTTATTATTTTATACTTACTTGGTTTCCAAAAGTTGTGTATTTTCTAGTATAAGGTTCTCAACTTCACGACCCATTCCTATCAAAAGAAAAATAATAAAGACCTTGAAAAAAAATTATCAAAAGTTATACACAAGCTATAGTCATATTTTTATTTTATTATTTTTTTCTGCCCTCTAAGTAATCTTATTTTCTCTATAAATTCATTTGATGTATCTACTTGTATGGATTATAAAATTATAAATAATTACTCATCATAAAACAAAACTAAAGATTTCAGTGGTTGATTTTTTTTCTTCTTCTCAGCACTGATGATAACCCCAGGGCCCCTCATTGAGCTACACCCTTGGCCCTTTTCTGTTTTTTATTTTAAGACAGAGTCTTGTTAAATTGACCAGGCTAGACTTGAACTTACAGCTGGCTGGGTCTGTAAGTGTGTATCAACATGCCTAGCCTTTTTTCTTTTAAATCAATTTGTTATACCTGCTAGTCTACAATTGTTTCGCATAGATAAAACTTCAAAAGGATCAAAACTTGTCAGCCAGATATTCTAACAAGTAGCACTGTTTAGAGAGGAAAAAATAGTTTTAGGAAGGATTGGAAACTGTTTCCAAATTACAGCTGATACTGTAGCTTCTGCTCAAACATTACATCTCATTAATAAAGGACAGGCATATACAACGCTAAAGAAAGACAGAACCCCAAGGCAGATGAAACCTTACCAAAGAAATTATGGTCTTAAAGCCCATGCATTCCATGTAAAGCAAAAACAAAGAACAAGAAATGTTTTATGTAAGAAACAGCATGAAAATAGATCATTAATCTATAAAGTTCTATGCGTGATATGAAAAACATCGGGAATCACAATGTTATGTCTTAATGCATAATGATGTATAAGAGACAGAAATAAAGATGATTTCCTTCATTCATGAAGATATTCTCAGATACAGCTAAAAAATACCTTCCCAATTCTTTCTTCTAAGACAACTGAATATAATTAGATTGAAAATCCCAAATCAGTAATACAAAGTTTCCTATAAAGTACCACCTATGAAATGGTAATATTCAGTTGTCATATGACAGACATTATCGTTATTACTATTATTAGTAGTAGTTGTAGTATTATTAGGCAGTACTGTACTGGCCACTGAACCTAAAGCCTTTGCACTGAGTTATCTCCCTGGCCCTTTCCATTTTTCATTTTGAGACAGGGGCTTGCTAAGTAAGTTGCCCAGGCTGGACATGAACTTGGGATCCTCCTGCCTCAGCCTCCCATAGTGCTGGGACTGCAGATGTGCACCACCATGCCAGCTGTGTTTAATATTTGAATGAGTACTCTAAGGCATGTGGAGCACTCAATGCAAGATCCAAGGTAGTGGTCTTTAGGGAGAATGAAGTTATTTAATTTGCTTCTCTTAAGAAATGAAGTAACACATTAAAGAATATTTTTTTAAAAAGCAGAACAAAACCAAAATGACCCTCACTCACTCATCCCAAGAAATTATGAACAATGTTGGAAAATGACATAGAAAAGGGGAAGTAATACTTTTAATCAGGAAAATAGGAAAATATTTCTAAAGAAAACTACTTAAGGCAAAGGAGTTAGCATGTTCTTTTATTTTAAAAAGGTAATATTCTAAGTGACTTTTAAATTATTAGGACAAAAACAACCAAGCTAGGAGTGCTAACAATTCAATGCTAACATATGCACTCCTACTTTGTATGTGTAACAATCTTCTCTAATATCAGAAGTGGTAGCTTACTCAACTACCTACGTATTCACTACAAATGTTGGGGAAAAAACTAAAGAAGTTTTCAAATTCCAACTCCAAAATGATTTTTGCCAACACATCTGCTTTAAACACTAATGTCTATGCTGCAGTGAAGCTACAGAGATGGCAGAAAGTTCGGCCTAGGTGAAAGCAGTTCATGTCATAAACAGGATTGGTATAAACTCTCAGGCGCTGAGATAAGCACAAAAGCTGAAAATGTACACACGGCAAAAGAAAAAAAACTGAGCAGAAAAAAGTGATGGGGAAGCATGGGAGCAGCAGCCAAGCACAGCGGGCGGGCGGCAGCCACACGGAAGGCTTTAGGGGCATACACACCAGAATATTCCCCTGGGGAAGCAGCCCAAGAGAAAAGTGAATGAGACTCTCAATTAGATTGTCTGCGGAAAGCAAGAGCTAAACTCACTTATTTTAAAATGAGAGAGCATGTGACAAAGAAACTGAAACAGTACAGAGAAACCACTATCTAAACACAATGAAGTGTAAATACCACTGTATAAACCGGAAACCACCCAAGCATGTACTAATGAGAAACACAACCTGTAACTGTTTCTAAAGTTTCTATTAAAGTTACATACTGTCAATGAAGTTTGCTTAAAAGCTACTGTAGTTAAAGCTGTGATCAAGAGGATTCTCTAAAATGTTCTTTTTGAAAATGTCAGTAAAAAGTAACTGTGAGGAAATTAAAATTTGAAGCAGCTTTGTCTCTAGTCGAGGTAAGCATAAACTTAGGTCTGTTATGTTTGGAAACTTTATCTACTGAAAACAAGAAAAAAAAAATACTGCCTCCAGTTTTTAAACCATAAAATCCCAACTGGATTTTAGTGCCGATCTTTTGGTTTTTCTCCGGTACCAGGAACCGAACTCACAACCTTGCGCTTGCCAGGCAGGCGCTTTTGCCGCTGAGCTAAATCCCCAGCCCCTTCAGTGCCGATCTTGAGCGAGGTCCAAACAGGATTCAGAGCGTGCCATCACCCCTGCACAAAGGCTGCACGGATTTGTGGCGCTGTGTAGGTCTCCCCAAGGCTATACTGCTTCCTTAAAAAATCCCAGGGGAAGGATTTTTAATCTCAAAAGGTGAACAGTCTCAGAGATGAAACAAAACTCTAAGAACTATTTTACAACCCCACTCACTTAATTGTTGTGCTATGTGTTAAAAACAAGTTGTCTTGGCCATACTGAACGTAGTGATCCAGTCAGAAAGGTAAATAAAAAGTGACAGCAGGGCTGGGGATTTAGCTCAGTGGCACAGCGCCTGCCAGGCAAGCACAAGGTCCTAAGTTCGGTTCCCGGTACCGGAAAAAAAACAGCCTGGGCTACAAAGTGAGCTCAAGGCCAGCCTGAACTGCATGGTTAACCTTGTCGCAAAAAGACATTAAAAAAAAAAAAGATCCAGGATAGAGGTAAGAACTAAATTGAGCATAAAAATAAGAAACAGAGCAAATACAATTTCCCAAGTGAAGAAGCTGGCCCGGGCAGGAGCCCCAGGCTCGGAGTGACCAGCGGCGGACGCACATCTGCGAAGATGACAAAGGAGCAGCCAGGAAAGGCCAGAAAGCCGAAGAGGACAGGTGTGAAGACACCTGCTTTAGAGATGTCGCGCAGAACCACCGAGGTACAGCAAGCGAGAGGCTGTCTCGGGCAGGGTAGGACGCAGGGGCGGTCTGCAGCCCGCGGTGAGCCGCCCGGCGCAGGCCGGAGCCGGTGTACCGCGCCCGCAGGCGTTGCCTCTTTCCCTGCGCTGGCGTCCAACGTAGGTGTGTGGACGACGAGGGGCAGGGGCGAGGGCGAGGGCGAGGCCCCCGCGTCACAGGAAGCAGTGTATTTTTATAGAGCGAAGGCCTAACTACATTTACACGCAAAGAGAAGTCCGTGGGGACAGTGCAGTGCCAACACGCGTGGTGACGGGGGCATCTCGATGGACGGAAACCGCCGCGTCCCGGGACCCGCTGGGGCTGACCGCCGAGGCCGGAGGACACGGAAGGCGAGGACGGGCCGGCAAGGTCAAGGGCACCGCCAGGTCACCTCGTTCAAGTTATTAAACTCGGGAAAGGCTCCTCTAGGTGCTGGCTTCCTGAACGACTATTAAAACATATTTCACCTGGAGCAAGAGTTTTATGAGCGCCTTAAGCAGACACGAATGCGTTGTTAGGGAAGAGGACCAGGTACCTATCCACACCGCGGGCCATGGAAGAGGCTGGGGCGAGAGGTGCAGGGGAACTTGCCCCTGAATCATTCGGAGAGCGCCGCCGCTGTCACCGCCGCCCCGCACGGACAGCAGCCAAGGGACACGCACGCCCCTTCCGTTCCACTCGCCGTCCGACCTGCAGTAGTCAGTAGGCCGATGTAACTAAACTGCTATGTTTACAACAGTCTGAGTGTTCCAGAGAGAAATATACTAAGATCTGTGTAGTTTGGGCCCAGAAGATAGCTCAGTGGCGTAAGCGCCTGCCTGGCAAGTGCAAGGTCCTGAGTTCGAGTCCTAGTACCAAAAAAGACAGTAGTTTACAGCATGCCTATTATCTCCATTGTGTAAAGGAAGCCAAGGAATCAGGCTTTTCATTTCAATCTCTTTATGAGGCTTAATTTTCTGACTTTTAGAAAGCATTAAATTTTACTAAAATACTAAAAGTATTTTTAAGTACTATGTGCTTAATTCTTTATAGGAAAAAAATATTGGGGTGTCACTAGCCTAAAAGGGTTATAGGAAGCAGTGTACAAATCATATTGGCAGGGACTTCATTCTAGTTAACACAAAGAGGTACCAGGAAGGTGAAGGATAGGAGGGTGAAGGATATTAATTCCAGGGTGGCTGCACAGCTTAGCATCTGTCAAACTTCAAAAAGTTGTAAAAAAAAAAAAAATCAGTAAATTTCATTGCATGTAAATCTGAATATGAATTTTTAAATTTTTTAATTATTCTAACTTTTTTGCATCCACCCAATTCTGTCATTTAGTCCTTTTCTCTTTTGTACTGGGAATTGAACATAGTGCCACCTAAATCTTTACTCCTACAGGATGGAAAACACAGAAGAAATGGACAGACTCCTAGATAAGTATGAATTACTAAAGCTGAATCAAGAAGAAATAAAAATTCTGAATAACCCATATCAATTATTGAAATTTAAAATGTGATTAAAAACCTACCAATAAAGAGAATCTTAGTTCCTGGTGGATTCACAGCTGAATTCTACAAGAAATTTGGAGAATATTTAAGTCCAATTCTTCTCAAACTCTTCAATGAAATTGAAAAGGAAGCAGTTCTCCCTAAGTCATATCTGGAGGCAAGTATTATACTGATATCAAAACCAGAGAAAGACTTAATCAGGAAAGAGAACTACTGGCCAATCTCCCTAATGAACACAGATGCAAAGATACTCAATAAAATAATAGCAAACAGAATTCAGCAAATCATCAAGAGGATTATACACCATGACCAAGTGGGTTTCATCCCAGGGATGCAGGGATGGTTCACTGTATGCAAATCAATTAATGTAATACACCATGTCAACAGAGCCAAAGACAAGAACTACATGATCATCTCAGTAGATGCAGAAAAAGCTCTTGACAAAGTCTAACACTCATTCATGATAAAAACCCCACAGAAAATAGGAACAGATGGTCTTTACCTCAATCTGATCAAAGCCATCTATAACAAACCAACAGCCAATATCATACTAAATGGACAAAAACTGAAAGCTTTCACTTTAAAATCAGGAACAAGACAAGGATGTCCACTGTCAACACTCCTATTCAACATAGTTCTGGAAACATTAGCCAGAGCAATTAGACAAGAGAGAGAAATAAAAGGAATAAGCATAGGAAAGGAAGAAGTGAAATTACCGTTATTTGCAGATGACATGATACTCTATATGAAAGACCCCAAAAAGTCCACCAAAAGATTCCTAGAGTTAATCAGCAAATTCAGAAGCATAGCTAGACACAAAGTCAACACTCAAAAATCAGTAGCATTCCTATACAAACAGCAAACAGACCGAGAGAGAAATTAAGGAAACTATACCTTTCACAACAGCATCCAAAAAAAAAAATTTTTTTTTTGGTACTGAGAATTGAACTCATAGTCTTGCACTTGCCAGGCAGGCGCTGGGGCCCTGAGCTATAGCCCCAGTCCTGCCCCCAAAATTGAAATACTTAGGAATCAATCTAACAAAATAAGTAAAAGATCTTTACAGTGAAAACTACAGTACTCTGAAAAAGGAGATCAAAGACGATTTCAGAAAATGGAAAGATATTCCTTGCTCATGGATTGGAAGAACCAACACTGTGAAAATGGCCATAGTCCCAAAATTGTTGTACATATTCGATGCAATCCCAATTAAAATACCATTAGTATGCCTCACAGATCTAGAGAAAACATTCCTAAAATTGATCTGGAACCAGAAGAGACCCAGAATAGCAAAAGCAATCCTGGGTAACAGAGACAAGTCAGGTGGCACGACAATTCCTGACTTGAAATTATACTCTAAAGCCACTGTGATAAAATCAACATGGTATTAGCAAAAAAACAGACCTGAGGATCAATGGCACAGACTGGAAGATGTAGTCACAACCACAAACCACCTTATTTTTGACAAAGGGGCCAAACAAGTTCACTGGAAGAAAGATAGCCTCTTTAATAAATGGTGCTGGAAAAACTGGCTCACCACATGCTGAAGACTGAAACTAGACCCATGCCTATCACATATACCAAACTCAAGTCAAAATGGATCAAAGATCTAAATATTAAAACAGAAACACTAAATGTACTGGAAGAGAAAGCAGGTAAGGGCGGGGGATTTAGCTCAGCGGCAAAGCGCCTGCCTGGCAAGCGCAAGGTCGTGAGTTCGGTTCTCGGTACCGGAGAAAAACCAAAAAAAAAAAAAGAAAGCAGGTAAAATCTCGAAGACATACGACTAGGCAGAGAGGTCATGAACAAAAACCAAACTGCATGGGAAAAACTTCAAGAATTAACAACTGGGATCTCATCTTATTGAAATGTTTTTGCACATCTAAAGAAAGCAGCAGCAGAGTAAAAAGAAAATCCACAAACTGGGAAAAAATTTTAGCTGACTGTGCCTCAGACAAAGGACTTCTGTCCAGAACATATAAAGAATTAAAAGAAATCAGCCCCCCAAAGCTAAAGATGCAATCCAAAAATGGGCATTTGAGATGAATATATACTTCTCAGATAAAGAAATACAAATGGCAAATAAATACATGAAAAAATATTCAACATTATTAGTCATTCAAGAAATGCAAATTAAGACAACACTGAGATTCCACCTCACCCCAGAAAGAATGGCTATTATCAAGAAATCAACCAATAACAAATGCTGGCGAGGCTATGGGGAAAAAGGAACTCTTCACTGTTGGTGGGAGTAGACTGGTGCAACCACTGTGGAGATCAGTGTGGAGATCCCTCAGTACACTAGGATGAGCGGTCCCATTCAACCCAGCTATTCCCCTTCTGGGCATTGTTCCAGAAGAGCTAAAAATATACCACAGCGATATATGTGCACCCATATTTATAGCTGCGTAATTTGTAATAGCTAAATCGTGGAAGGAACCCAAATGCCCATCAACTGAGGAAAGGATAAAAAAGATGTATTTTTACCCAATAGAATATTACTCAGCTATACAGAAAGTTAAACTCGAGGCTTTCATAGGTCAATGGATACAACCAGAGACCATACTCATAAGCAAAATAAATCAGACCTGCATGTATAATATCGTTTTGTCTCATTAGTGTAACAACCTGAAAGAGTAAATAAAATCTGAAAGGTGTAATAGATACTGTGAAAGGGAAAGAAACTGCTCAAAAGGAAAGAACAACTGGGATGAAGGAAAAGAGAAAAACGAAGGTAAAAATATGTGTGTGTATCTATCTGTCTGAGAGTTGTACTACTGACTTTTGCTTTATTGAAAGGAACAGTTAATGTTTAATTGTTTGATCAATCCTACATGCCTATATTTGTTTAACTGAGTAACCAATTTGAAGATAACAATACACAACCATTGTTAATTTCCTATCACCTTGTCTGAAATTCTATATTGTTTGTATTGTTTGGGTGTTGTTTTGTTTATGTCTGTTTGTTAATGTGTTTTCGCTCTTTTATCTTTATTTATTTATTTATTTTATTTTTTTGGTTTTTGGTTTTTCTCCGGTATTGGGAACTGAACTCACGACCTTGCACTTGCCAGGCAGGCGCTTTGCCGCTGAGCTAAATCCCCAGCCCCTCTTTTATCTTTAAAATTAAAAAAAAAAAAAGAAGATTCGTGGTTTTCTAAAGAAATACTTCACAATGTCAAGGACATAAATGGCAGCCAATAAATTTATGCAAATTAACGCAGGCAGCGTCACTGTGTACTGTATTTACAAGAACTGACACCTCACTCTCTCAGAACAGTGTACTCTGCTATAGTTACACAGATACAACATTTTTTGCAGCTTAATATCTAATCCAAAGCAACAGATTTTTAATTGTGCATCGTTTTCAATTTTTATAAAGCCTTAAACCGTAAGAAAGGCCCACCAAATTCATGCATGTCAGAATCACGATTCCTGCCGAACAGCGCCCTAGAGGTCACCTAGATGTGCCTGGCAAGGGCCATCCAGCAAATGTCTTAGGCTCCATGGGCCATGTGATCACTGCTTTTTTTTTTTTTTGGTACTGGGGATTGAACTCACAACCTTGTGCTTGCCAAGCAGGCGCTTATGCCACTGAGCTATATCCCCAACCCCGTGATCACTACTTCAAACTGTGTAGCCCTGAATCTGCTGGGCAAAAGCAAGTGTGTGTAGCGGGGAGGCTGCGTTACACTCACACGCTCCAGTGCACGAAGGTGGCTGAGCTGGGCCCACGACCCACGGTCTGCTCACCCTCTGAACCATAGTCTTTCATTTCTACACAGAGAGACCAGGCAGAAGGGTGAGCTGTTTGGCAAAAGTCACTGGGTAAGTCGTGGAAGAGCCAGATGCAGTCATAATGTTTTCAAGCTACCTGTTCAGCAACACACACTGGAGCAGGGAGCGACTGGACCGAAGCCAGAGCCACAGCGCAACACTGCCAGCTCAGCACGGACTCTAAAATGATTGCACAGGGCGGGCGCAATAGTCTACACAGCTCAAAGGAATCAAGAGTCGTAAGTGCTTCTTTATTTAAGGTCAGCAGAAATTCAATGAGATTTAATCAAGCAGAAACTGTCTGTTGCTCGCACCTATACACACGCACACTCATATGCCTACACATCACTGTGCGCCCAATGTGTGTTCCTGGAACGGAGCAGCTCGATGAACTGTGTTGTATGAATTCAAAACACAAATTTAAATACCGTTCTGTTCCAGGCCTATCCACATGAGAGGATGTTCTCACCTAAACCTTCTGTAATCTCAAAGAACATGTTCCCACTAACTTCCTAAAAGTGAAAAAACCCCGTGCCATCCAGCGTGGAGACATGATAAAGGCACTTCCAAACAGATCACTAAAGAAATCTGTTTTCCAATGGTATGCTCCTTCTTCCGGTGAGCTGCCATACCTAGTAAGTCCGCGCCTTCATCCACGTCGCCAATGAGGCCGGAGCCAGCAGAAGACAGCTCTTCAAAGAGAGATTCTGTGTTGCGATCGAAAGCTCGGTTCTCTATGCCTCTGGTGGGAGTGCTACGCACAAAAACAGAAGTGAGTGAACAAGTTACAAAGATGCTTTGGACAGCGTGTTTCTTTACTATAACGGGCTAAGCGTCATATGGATTTCCTACCTGTCATTTACATTTATGGCACAATATAAAAAAGGTATCAAAAAGGTTTTAAGCAATTCCCATGAAATTCCACGAGACAGCTGTAAGAAACAACACTGTGCTGTCATGAGATTCCAGCAACACACACACACACACACACACACACACACACACACACACACACACGGCGCCAACAGCGTCACCCCGACCACTATCCCAGCTCACCACTGCGCCACATGCCGACAGCTGCCGCTGCCCCCATTTCATCAGTAGGGAAGCCGAAGCAGCTAAGGGATTTATCAAGATCATTCAGCAACCAAGTGGAAGAGGCGGGATTCAAACTCCGACATCTGGCTTCAGAGTCCATGACCCTAACTACCATGTTGCCCATATAACACGTTGTCCACTATAAATTACCAAGGCTTTTTTAAAGAGTAATTTGACATTGTCTATTCAAATTGACCCAAAACTCTGACCAAAAATGTCCCACAGAAACCCTGTCATAAGAGGATAGCATTTTCATAGTGGCAAAAAGTTGAAATGACTTAAGTGATTAGCAATACAGAATCAATGGAATGAGTTTTATATATATATGTTCAAAGTTTCAACTTCATGGTTGAAAATATCCAAATAGAAGGCCTGGCGTGGTGGCACACACCTGTAATCCCAGCACTCAGGAGGCTGAGGCAGCAGGATTGCCACAGAGTTCACGGCCAACCCGGGCTACATACTAAGTTCCAGGCAGGCCTGAACTACAAAATGAGACCCTGTCTCAGAAAACCAAACCAAAACAACAACAAACAAAAAACTCTACAGGATTTCCAGCTAAACATGGTGGGCTGAACATAGTCATTTACACCTAATAATTCAGAAACCTGGGATGATAAGAGATTAAAAGGGAGCCACGCGTGGTGACACACACCTGTAATCCCAGCATTCTGGGAGGCTGAGTCAGGAGGATGGCAAACTTGAGTCCAGCCTAGATAACTTAGTGACTCAGTGAGACCCTCTCAAAAATAAAAAGAAAAATTGAAAAAGCAGCTAAAATGTGGACAAAATTCTGTAAGATGGGAAACATGGGCAAACATAAAAACTGAGTTATCAAACCAAAGAAGGCTGAAACCTAAGGCTTAAGGAGGTCAGTATCTGCCACAATTCATGAAAGACACAGGGCATGAAGGTGTCAGCAACTGTAGAGACGCGCGCGTAGGGGCAGAGCACAGGGAGGCTGGTTGGGACCCGCCAGGACCTGGGACCCTGCACTCAGCGCGGCTCGCTCACCATGGAAGCCAAGCTCACACCACGGGGATGAAACCCAGGGCTGGAGCATGCTGGGAAGTGTCCTACCGGTGAGCTAACGCAACCTGGGAAGTCAGGTTAAATGCTACCAGCAGGAAGCTGGAGACTCAGTGCTACTCACCTAGGTACGTGGGATTGGCCACAGAGTACCAGACATTTAAAGACTTGGGTAACGAAGAAAATACCCAAGGAAAATGGATGCCACAGAGGCACTAAGACAAAAGAAACAATGTAGGGGCTGGGGATTTAGCTCAGCGGCACAGCGCCTGCCTGGCAAGTGTAAGGTTGTGAGTTTGATTCCCGGTACTGGAAAACAAACAACAACAACAAAAAAAAAACCACAAAAGAAATAATGCAGGCAGTGCCCACAACAGCATAGAATCAAACCAACTTTTTTTTTTTTTTTTGGTTTTTCTCCGGTACCAGGAACCGAACTCACAACCTTGCGCTTGCCAGGCAGGTGCTTTGCCGCTGAGCTAAATCCCCAGCCCCCAAACCAACTTTTTAAAGAATGCTGCATCCACAAAAGCACAGCAAAATAATATAAAAAGCAATACCTGCCAGGCATGATGGCTAGTACCTGTAATCCCAGCACTTGAGAGGCTGAAGCAGGAGGGTCACCACGAGTTCAAGGCCAGCTTGGGCTACACAGTGAGTTCAAAGTTAGCCTGAACTACATAGTGAGACCCTGTCTCAAAAAAAAAAAAAAGAAAACCACACCTGCAGCACCTGACCTCGGACTTCCTCACTTCAGAACCATGAGAAATCTCTGCTCTTTGTAAATTAGCCTGTCTGGGTATTGTCAGAGCAACACAGAACACTAAGACACCACCTTTCCAAATGCTCCAAATGCCACAAGGGTAACATTTCACAAACAACTGAAACCATATATAACATCCAGTTTCAAGAACAGAAATTGGAGTTTTACAGTGGTATTTCTTCAGCAAAATGTATTTGATCTTGTCTAGTCAAAGACCAAGGAATGCTTATAGGAGCAGGAAAAGGAAAGAGAGGTCGTCCTCCTCTGACATGTCAGCACCTGGAACCTTTATATCCACTGAGGTCTTTGTCCATGTCCAGTTCAGGAGTGGATTCGATGATTGCTTGAACTTCCGACTTGTCTTCATTTTCAGCAGAGCCTAAAAGGACACGGCGAGATAAACAACACACCTAGGACGCAGTGCCCTGACAGGAAAGGTCTGTGGCTTCTACGGCTAGAAACATATCGCTTGACTCACAGACCTCAGAGTCTGCTCTAGGAAGCAGGGTGAGACAGTGTCGTATGTTCAGTTAAGAGTCAAGAGCAGAAACTATGCTGTGACTTAGAAAAACTCTTCGTTTGTGTTTCTCAGACACACGGGGCAGTCCACCCAAGGCACTGTTTTCATTCCGACTTCCGGGATGGAATACAGAGAAACTAAACACACCGACGAACAGACACTAAGGGAGGGGACAGAGAAGGACTGTCTTCCTGCCTTGTAGGCCCTGTACCCTTTCAGCCCCCCAAGTTTTTCTAATACTTTCAATCATGACGTCGTTTAAGCCTACCCATAATTGAGCACAATGAGTTATCTACCGATTGCATACATCTAAAGCAGCAACACACGCGGGGCTCGTTTTCCACGCCCACCCCATGGGTTTCCTGCGTCCTTTGCTAGAAAGCGAAGGCTGGGCACTTACCTGTGGACACATTCCGTGTCTCCTGGGCGACCTGCACCTCGATGTGCTTGCTTAGCTCTAACCCCGCCGGCGTGTCTGCGCCCCTCACCAGCGCATCACTCTCCTCCCTCAGCGGTGTGTCAGAGGGGATGGCTGCCACATCCGAATTAGCTGCTGATGCTGGAGTAGTAGCTTTAGATCCGCTCTGGCTAACGTCAGAAAGCTCATCCTGCAAATAAAAGTGTTTTTTTGTGGGTTTTTTTGTACCAGGAATCGAACTCATGACCTCAGGCTGGCCAGGCAGCAAATAAAAGTTACAGAGAACATTTTAACTGAGCAGTCTGTTACAAACCACCTCAGAACCGAGTCAGGGGCTGCAGGTGCAGAGTAGTGCAGAGGCACATGGCGTATGTGCTTAGCATGTGCAAGGCCTTGGGGCCAACTACCAGCACCAAAGAGAAAGAGGCCGGAAAAGAAACTTGCCTGGAGAAAACTCTGTTTAAAAAAATGCAATAAGGAGTCCCTGATTACCAGTAAATAATGTCTTTAGGTTATCTGAATTAGAAATATTTAAGTAAATCATCTGTCCAGGCAAAGATGAGATTTTTTTAATCAGAAAATCTAAAAATCAAAGATTGGAAATATTAACAGTAAAATTATACATTCATAGCAACAACAGTTTTGGGGGATGGGGTCTAAGTTTTTAAAAATTATCTATATTCCAGATATTAGTCCTTTGTCTCACTCCCCCCCCCCCCGGTACCGGGAATCGAACTCATGACCTCACGCTTGCCAGGCAGGCACTGTGCCGCTGAGCTAAATCCCCAGCCCCAACAACAACAGTTTTAATGACAGCTGCAATGCTTTACGCCGTCAACAGTGATTTGATAATAAAGACTGTAGAACAGGAAGAGCAAGTACTCTAACAGCTACTCTAAAACAGCAGAATAACTATTCTTAAAACTCAGAGAAGTTTCATAGTTTTAAAACATCTCATATCCAAACCATATAACCTGTTTGTCAAAGGGACAGATTCTAAATCCCACTCCAGACCTAAGGCACCACTCATGGTCAGTGAAGCCAAGCAACCTGCATTCTAACAAGTACACGCTCAGTAAAACCTACCCACTATTCTGGAGTCTCTAAGACTGGCTGCAAGAGACCCACCCACAGCCTGAAACTGTATGCAAAGTCTGTGTAGAAGGTATTTTTCTGGAAAAGAATCTAGAGCCTTTATTAGACTCAAAGAGGTTTGCAATACCAAAATAATTTTTAAAAACTGTCCAGTGGCTACCAGAAATGAGACAGTTTTCTTTTTTTTTTTTTTTTAACAGAAAAATACAAAGGTCTACAGAGAAGAAAACCTGACAAATACGCCAGCAACAGTGTGGTCTTAACAACCCAGAGGGCAGAGGATCAGGTGAGTCTTAGCAACCCAGAGGCAGAGGATCAGGTAAGCCCAGGAGTTTGGGGTTAGCTTGCACAGCACCGGGAAACCCTATTGCTTAAAAAAATTTTAAATGGCTTACTATGACTAAATAATAAGAATTACAATAAATTCAATAAATATAACCTTCATTAATGTATGATCTTGGGTAAATCATACATTCTTTTTATGCCATATTTTCTAACCTGTACCTACTTCATACAATTACTATAAATTATATATAATGGCGTTGCAATGCATTCCACACATAGTAAGCAATCCATAATTTCAGTTATTATTACAAATTACAATGACTTGTGTAGTTATAATTATAAATATACTTATTATTTTTGAAGGCAAATGGAGAGCTCTTTACCCCTTTTAACTGTTTCCCAAGGCCCTTTAGCCCTATCCCAGGCCTTTGTTTTTGTTTCAATCATGAGCGATGTAGAAGGTGAACGTCACACCCCGTGTCTGGTGATTACTCTACAACACTGAAATATCTTAGTTCTGTCCTTAGGCATCTTTATCCTAGCGCACGCTTGCTCTTCACAACTTTGGACAGTTCACCCTATACCTGCCCTTGTACAGTAACAGCTCAGTTGCTCATTATCCTTTTTTCTTTTTTCTTTTTTTTTTTGTCTTTTTGAGACAGGGTCTCGCTATGCAGTTCAGGCTGGCCTTGAGCTCACCTTGTAGGCTAGGCTGGTCTCAAACTCACAATGATCCTCCTGCCTCAGCTCCCGAGTGCTGGGATTACAGGTGTGCGCCATCATGCCTGGCTTCTTTCTTATTTTTAAACAGGGTCTCCCTTTGTAGCCCAGGCTGGCCTCAAACTCATGGAGATCCTCCTGCCTCAGCCTATGGAGTGCTGGGATTACATGTGTATGTCACCTCGCTGGGCTATCTACTCATTATCTTATCACTCAGCATTTTAAGAAATGTGGGCATCCAGGCAGACACTGGTCCACTTAACAAAACTGAACCTCCTTTAGATTTTTTAATCTATCAAAAGAAAAATACAATGGTATATCCATGTTAGAGTACAATACTTACATTTTCAATGAAATAGGAAAATGCTATGTTACACTGACAATACATACATATACAGACTACACGCATATATACACGCGCTCCAGAAATAACCAAAGATGTACACACTGCCCTTTTTTTTTTTTTTTTTT